ACCCCCCCCCCCCCCCCCCCCCCCCCCCAAATTCCCCCAAGTGCGACAAGTCTTAGTGCTGTGCACTAGCCTCATTCGAGGCGGTGGTCCGCGACCCAGAGCTAGTCCAAGCAACCTTGACCTACCTGAGGACTGCCTGCTATTGCTGGTATTGACTTGCTTTACTTCCATCCTCCATTCCATCTCTTCTTCTCCTCCATCCCTCCTCCGCCAGATCCAGGAGGCGTGCCTGCTGCTGCACCTTCACCTTCAACGAGCCCCGGTCCGGTCCCTTTCCCCCCCCCCCTCCCCTCTCTCTCTCCTCGGCGGATACCCTGGTGGTCCTTGTTCCGACGTTTCGTCCTCTTGCCACACCCACCTCCTTTTAATTTTTTTTTCTTAATCGCCTTTCATCCCCGTGAACCTCGCTCTGCTACCCTCAATGCTCGGAGGGAGCTCGGAGCGAGATTCTTTACCATCCAACTCCACCGCGGCCAGAGAACAAGCGTCCATGTCCGTCGCAGCAGGTCACCCTGAGCCAAGTAAGCTTTCCGCCCCTTACCCGTTAACGCGACCGGGCGCTTTCGATGAATGTCATCGCTAAGACTTCACTTCTTTAGATCCTGAGGCAGCGCCTCAGGAACAATCCGCCAATCCAAGTGCATCAGCCCCGTCCACCGGTCCAGAAGCTATCGACCCGGCTCAACCGTCTGTCGCGACTCCGGGCGTTGCTGCGGCTACCTCCACTGATCCTCCGAAAAAGCATCATCTACTACTCCCGATCTCGTCGCGTGCATCCCTGAAGGCCGACCGGCAGTCGACTCTGGACAAGAGCCAGGATACTGTCAACGATGACTCCGAGAACACTCTCCGCGGATCGAAAAGAAGCATCCTGAAAGGGCGACGCGACCGGAGCAGAGGCAGCAGTAGGCGATCACGTCGACAAAATCAGGAAGGGGGAAGTATAGAGGAGGATAAAACAGCGACCGGCGATCCGCGTGACACTCCCAAACCGGAAAGGAAAAGCAAGGTCACCTACAGGCTATTCGCGTTTCTCAGTTGTTGTTCTTCATCCAACGTCGACCCGGAGGACACAGCTATTCCCGCAAAGAGAACATCCCGACGGCTATCAGTTCCCAACACGCAGCCAACTCCCGAGAAGACAGAGGCTAATGCTGGAGACTCGAGCACGGCGGAATCTAAGGAACCATGCTACTATCGCGACGAGAAATCCAACATGACTGTCACTGCGGATCAGTCCGGATCGCAAAAAAGTGAGGAACGCACTGGTAAACCTTTAGATCAGGGCTTGAAGCTCGATGGCTTGGCAGCGCCGTCCGGTCAAGCTGCAGAGGATCAGGGGCACACTCCGACCAAGGACGATTCCGAAACTCAGGGTCCGAACATCGTCGTTGCGACCGTTGAAGGGGGCGCCGTATTCCCGAATGGGGTCGAGAAGACCGAGGACGATGCCGTGCCACAGGACAAGGAGAAGTCACGATTGCAGACGGAGCAGGCCCAGACCCAGGAACTTCCTCCGGCGGACGATGAGCTACACCAATTCCCCGCGGAGAACGACACAACAAACGACCTCAAGTACGCCTCCCACGATGAAGAGGCCTCAACGCTAGCCCCCGAGTTACCGCCCCCGCCGATGCCTCCGAGCGAGAAACACATCGAGACGGTGGATCCTGATGAGCATGGTCAATTCCTTTTGCCTCCGCCTTTACCTCACCTGCGTGACAGAAAGTGTTTGGTTCTAGATCTGGATGAAACGCTAGTTCACAGTAGCTTCAAGGTACTTTTTTCCCTCTTGTTCCCAAGCCAGTCAAAATACTGAATGGCAATTTCAGGTTCTCGAACGGGCAGACTTCACCATACCCGTTGAAATCGAGGGCCAGTACCACAACATATACGTCATCAAACGACCTGGCGTCGACCAATTCATGAAAAGGGTCGGGGAGTTGTATGAGGTCGTCGTTTTTACCGCCTCCGTCTCCAAAGTGGGTTGTTCTCGCCTCTTCTGTCAGCATAGTCACTAATTGAATTGCAGTATGGCGATCCCCTGCTGGATCAGTTGGACATCCACAACGTTGTGCACCACCGCCTGTTCAGGGACAGCTGCTACAACCACCAAGGCAACTATGTGAAGGTTTGCATTCTTCCTAATACGAGCTCCGATTTCACACTGACCTTGTGGTAGGACCTGTCACAAGTTGGTCGCGACCTACGAGACACCATCATTATCGACAACTCCCCGACATCCTATATATTCCACCCTCAACATGCGATACCCATCAGCAGCTGGTTCTCTGACGCCCACGATAACGAGCTCCTAGATCTAATTCCCGTCCTCGAAGACCTTGCCGGGGCACAAGTGAAAGACGTCAGTCTTGTTCTTGACATTGCATTGTAATGCCTGTATATCTAGCTCGTCTAGCATCTGCATCACAGCATGGACATTTTGCTTTCTTGGACGCCACCACGTTTGTCCTCAACACGTTTGACCCTGACCCAGTGGCTTTGACTGGCCACAACACATCTTTATTGTCGTGGTTGGAAGCAAGCTTCTCCAGGCAAGCCGGGACTCACGGTGTTCCAGAGTGGAGATATATGTTTCCTTGACTCCCCATGTTTCCTGTTTTGTTTTGCAGTGCGCTCCCACCCCCGCGCACCGATCTCTTTGCTCTTCTTTACTTTGCTTTCCTTTTCATCTCTTGTTTTTTACACTCCAAGTGAGTAGATACCTGATTACCCCCTTGCTATTTTTTCCTTACTACTTAAAACTGTGTGTGTGTGTGTCGTTGCATTCTGCAGGCGTCCGTCTTGGTCATCAGCCAAAATTCTGCTGATCTCGTGTATACGCTCCCCGATTTACCTATTCTTACACTCTCTCATATGTCTTCCTTATTTCCTTGCGCCTGTCTTGTCATCTGCACACGAGCAGCCCTCCGAGGCTCGACTTACCGCTCTGGTTATTTTTTCTTTTGCCCTTGTATCCGAAGATGTGATTCCAAAACCCCGCCATGCGTTTTGTTATTTGTCTACTACGATCTGCCTCGCTTTTGGAGACCTCGATAGTGGATGACATCTTGATACCTGTCTTCTCCCCACATGTCCATGCTCTGGCAAACGCACAGTATCTCATCGACCCAGGATTGACAGCATCGGTGATTTTGCAGTGTATGTACCATTGGCCTACATCCTGTACATAGAAGCGTCGTCACTCCATCGCGTCCTGTGTTTGAAAATTTGAGAGACCAATAAAGGCCACGAGTCATGCAACAAGCGGAATCCAGAGTAATTAACTAGTTGGTGGCTGGTCCGGTGTGTAGTGTTGGGTAAGGTCGTTGAAAGAGGTACAATAGGTCAACTTCACATAGTACGCGGGATCCGACGGAGTTAACTTAATCAGCCTGACCGCGTCAACTGTTTTTTTTTACTTATCATCCGGCACTTTTTGCCTTCTGAACTTCATTCGACTCATTTTTTTGTTTTGCGAGTAAGGATTTCGGTTTTTAAGGGGCGCTAAAGCAAGAGAAGAAACCAAAAAGAGAGGTATTCCACCCCAACTCCAACCATAATCTAGTTCCCTTCCTCAACTCCCTCCAAAAGAAAACCCCGCTCGGCATCGTCATTCCTCCGTCGGTCAACATTGAACCTTTCCCCCCACATCTGCCCTCCGGAGTTCCAGCGCAGACTCACACCACTTTTCTAGAAGAAGAAAAAAGGATCATTCACGCGCTCACCTTCCCCAGACACACAACACACATCCATACCTCTCCAAACACAATAATGAAAGACCGCCACGGCTGGGACGGGAAACTCCGCGTCGGCGCCGCCGCCGCCGCCGCCGGCGACGAGCAGCAGCAGCCCCCCAAAGAAGCCATCATCACCAACCCCGAAGCTCTCGAAGACCCCGATTACTCCGACTCGGATGCGCCGCCCGTGGAGGAGATCCAGGCTGATGAAGGTGCGCTCTCTCGCCTATCTCACCTTTTCCGCGCACACCCACCCACTCTAGTCGACCCTTTCGGACTCGCGCTTTGGGGTTTTCAGTCGAGCTGATCCGTGAATATTGGTTGGGCAGATTTATTGGAAGATGAGGATTTGGATACCGAGGTAAGGCGGTCTGGTTCTTTTTCTGTCGCGGGTGATGCGATGCGAGGACGCGTTGGTGGTTGGTGGTTGGTGCTGCGCTGCAGCCCTGCGCGGGTCTTTCTCTTTTTTTTTTCTTGTGGCGATGCTAACTGGTTGCAAAACTGTCGTGTGATGGGAGTAGGAGATCGATTTGGTACACTGTCGGATAAGTTCGCTGCCGGCGTTGAAGCTGGAGCGGTTTGAGAAGGTCAAGGTATGCTCCTCTTCTTTTTCTCGAAGTCTCTCGCGCGGTGGTCAAAGAGATTCCTGGAGGAAGGGGCATAGCGCTAACCCGGACCACAACATCAACAACAGAGAATATGCCTCCGGCAGAACCAGATCTCGCGCATCGACTTCCCGACCCCCGTCGCCAAGTCGCTGACCGAACTCGACCTCTACGACAACCTGATCTCCCACATCAAAGGGCTGGACGAGTTCGAGAACCTGACGAGTCTGGACCTGAGCTTCAACAAGATCAAGCACATCAAGAACGTCGCGCACCTGGTCAAGCTGACGGATCTGTACTTCGTGCAGAACAAGATCTCCAAGATCGAGGCGCTGGAGGGGTTGACGGTCCTGCGGAATTTGGAGCTGGGGGCGAATCGGATCCGGGTGGGTTTTTTTTGGTCTCTTGTCTTTGGGGATGCTGGGGACGGAAGGGGAGTGATGGTAGGGCTAACGAGGTGTACAGGAGATTGAGAATCTGGAGACGCTACAAGCATTGGAGGAACTGTGGTTGGGAAAGAATAAGATTACGGAGTTGAAGGTAAGCCAGCAGAGGGGGGACACTGTGGTTTTTTTTTTCTGGGTCTCATTGCGAGAAACGCTAATCCGACGGCATGTCTGCAACAACAGAACCTCGACGCCCTGCAAAACCTCCGGATCCTCTCCATCCAGTCGAACCGCCTCACCCGCATCAGCGGGCTGTCCGCGCTCCAGAACCTCGAGGAGCTCTACCTCTCGCACAATGCGATCACGGAGCTCGGCGGGCTCGAGGACAACCGGGCGCTGCGGGTGCTGGACTTCTCCAACAACCAGGTCTCCAAGCTGGAGCACCTGGCGCACCTGACGAACCTGGAGGAGCTGTGGGCGTCGAACAACCAGCTGGCCAGCTTCGACGAGGTGGAGCGCGAGCTGCGCGACAAGGAGCAGCTGAAGACGGTGTACTTCGAGGGGAACCCGCTGCAGATGCGGGCGCCGGCCCTGTATCGCAACAAGGTGCGGTTGGCGATCCCGCACATCATGCAGGTAGACGCAAGTAAGTTCGGTTTCCTTTTGCTGTGAGCAAGCGCTAACGAAGCGCTAACCCATGTAGCGTATATGCGCGTTGCATGAGGGGTCCAGGAATGTTGGGGAGGGGGGGGGGTTGAGTATGAATATACGAACAGGTCGAGATATCTGCTCGCAAACTGGGAACAACTGGAATAGATAATAGTCTTCTTGATCCAAAACACGGCTCACTCTCACCCTGAACCCCGAGAATTAGGCTATGATATACGATATGCATATACCACACACCCCACCGTCTCTTGTTTCAGTTTCAAAGATGTAGTATACAAGAATCATATACGAAAGGCTGTTTCACCCCGAAACCCCATCTGCCCGACCGACCTATCTGCTACTCCTCCTCCCCCGTCCCCCCATTCCCCCTCCCTACACCACCACCATGACTACTACTACTACTACTACTACTACCATGCCCCTCCCCAAACAACCCCATCAAACTCGCCGCCCCCCACCGCACCGTTTCAGCCTCCACCCTCTGCCGCCGCCCATGCGGCTGCGCCACCGCCTTCCTCCGCCCCGCCGGCCCATCCGCCAACTCTTTGAGAGGAATCCCCGCCCGCACCAGATCCTCATACATCCGCGGGTGACTCGTCCTCTCGATCTCGAACCCCGCGGACCAGGGGTTCCGTCGTATGGCCGCGGCGTGGTTGGTGCGCGAGGCGGTCAGGGTGCATCGTATGGTTGTGGTTGTGGGGTCTTCGTCGGGTGGCCCGGATGGTGTGGCGTGGGGGTTTTGTGCTGAGGGGTAGTAGTGTGTTGCTGCGTCTGGGGGTGCGTGTGCAGGTTGTTGCTGCGGCGGGAGGGGGAGCGGGGTGTAGTATTGTTTTTGTTTCTGTGGTTGGGATTGTGGTTGGGATTGTGGTTGTGCTTGGGACTGGGACTGTGACTGGGACTGTGACTGTGCTTGTAGGCTGTGGTGCTGATGGTGCTGGGCGTGGGCGTCCGGGGTAAGAGGGATCGCTAACGGGGAGGCAGCGCAGGCGGCCGTCGCGGCGGCGGCAGATTCGTAGATGGCGATTATGCTGTGGGATTGCGGGCGGGTGGTGGTGGTGGTGGTGGTTGGGGGGTTTGTTATGTCGTACTTTTTTTTGTTTGTTAGTTTCTTGTTTCCTGAAAGGCATCTCGTTTGATGCTATGGGCAGAAGGTGAAGGGGCTGGGCTGGGCTGGGCTGGAGCCCGACATACCCTCAAATTGCGGAAGGTGACGACTTCGCCGAATTTCTGCAGCGCGGAGAGGATGAGTTTGCTGTCGGAGAGGGTGCGCGGCGGCGGGTGCGCGGTGATGTGGATTGTTTTGGTGAAGAGGGACATTTTCTTTGCCTTTGGAAGTAGGGGGTGGGTTATTGCATCGGGATTTGGGAGTGGATGGATTGGGTTGGTTGGTGTTGAGGAGGGAAGGCACGTTAGATTTGCGCGGAGATGAGACCCTCTGCCCTGCGCTGCTTGGCGTGCTTATCGCTGGTCTTATCTTATCGCGGTACTGTGGGTGTACTACTGTACAGTAGGTACGAGATGCTGGAGCCTTAGTTGTCTTTTGGGTAGGGCAATGAATTGCATTGTATTTCTTGTTACATATACCACTCATCTACGTATTGGCTATAAGGCTTGGTGTCTATGCAATTAATTCGGCAGATTCCCGCCCTACACTTGGAGGCACCTCTCTTGCGATGTCTTGCGTAGGTCGAATATTGGACGAGTATCTTAAAAGGCATACTACTACATTACACTTCACACGGGCCAAGACAAGTTAAAGTCGAAATAGTATCATTCATATATCATAACAAATAACTAGAAGATGGGAACATAGAGCCCGTACTGGAAAAGTTGGTCAGCATCACTCAACCTCAAGTCACAAAAGGGGGGAGACTCACTCCCAAAGGATCATTGAACCGCAACCCGCGATCCAGCTCACTAATCTTCTCCAGCTCCGCACTCTCCAGATCCCAGCCCGTGACCTCCAAGTTCTGCTGCAACCGCTTGGGGTTGTTACTCTTCGGGATGACGGCAATGCCGCGCTGCGTCGCCCACCGCAGCAGCACCTGGGCCGGCGTGCGCCCATGCTTGTCGGCGATCTCCTTGATGAGCTCATGCTCGAACAGCGGCGGCGTGTTCAGTGCGTTCTTGACATCCAGTTCCAAAAAGCTCAGGGGCCCGAACGAGCTGTACGCGGTGACGACCAGCCCTTCCTTCTGGGCGTACTCGACCAGCCGGGACTGGGTCAGGTAGGGGTGGTGCTCGATCTGCAGGGTGGCGGGGCGGACGCGGGCGTAGCGCAGCAGATCCATGACCAGCTGGGCGCTAAAGTTGCTGATGCCGATGCTGCGGGCCAGGCCGGCGTCGACGAGCGTCTCCATCGCCTTCCACGTCTCGTGGATGGGAGTGTTGCTGAACTCCAGCGCGCCGTTCTCGGACTCCCAGCCCGGCGGGTACCGCACGGCCGGGTCGACGTACTTGAGCGCGATCGGGAAGTGCACGATGTACAGGTCGAAGTACTCCAGCCCCCAGTCCTGCAGCTGCTTGCGCGCGATGGGCTCCACGCGCTCCGCGTCGTGGAAGCTGTTCCACAGCTTCGACACGATGAACAGCTCCTCGCGCTTGACCAGCCCGTCGGCGATGGCCCGCGCCACGCCTTGGCCCGCTTCGGTCTCGTTGCCGTAGTCTGTTTTCGGCCCCCGGAGGGTTAGTATGCTTGTGGATCGGAGAGTGCTGGAAGACACCTTCCAGTAGGGAGGACATACCGCAGGCCCCGTCAAACAGTCGGTATCCCTCCTTGATCGCGTGGTAGACTTGGTCCGCGCAGGTGTCGTTGTTCACCTTCCACAGACCGAAGCCCACGAGGGGCATCTCGTGGCCGCTGTTGAGCTTGACGGTAGGGGAAGCCATTGTGTTGGGATCAGTGGTTGTCTTTCGGGGTATGAAAGGGGGAGAGATTGTGAGAAAAAGAAGGAACAGAGGGAGAAGACAAGAGAAAAGGACACGGAGATGGTTAAAAGACCGGACAATTGCCCCTCCATTGCCCCCCGCCCCCAGCCCAGCCCTTCAGAGGGTGCCAAAGTCTAATTGAGGGGATGAAAGCAATTAACCAGGCACGGCATCGGATGATGATGCATTAGAGGCTAAAATGATATGCTTCTGGCGGCTGTTGTTGCGCCCCACGGCTAAATGCAGCCGGCGGGTCCGGCTAAATTGGAATGGACCCACTGTGGCCTGCTGCATACATCCATCCAGTATACTCTACATGATACCCCCTACTATTATTATAGATAATATTCTGCACAGATTGCATTGTCAAGAATCGAATCAATTAGGTATCAATAAAAGGTTATCCAGAACCACAAGCCCAAAAATTGAAAAAAAGAATAACACCATCCCATCCAAGAACCCGCCCCGTGAAGAAGAATAATATTACAGATTGTGCTTTTGAAAAGTCCACCCACCCCTCTTTGAAAGACATCTTAATTCGCCTCCACTGAGTTGCTGTCTGCATATGTGGGATGCGGGTGATCATGACCACCCCCGTTGAGCCCCGGGTCACCGGGCATGCTTCCGACCAGCTTGTCCATCACATCATCCGGCGGTAGGAACCCCTCGAAACTGGTGGAGGCGTGCGACTCCCGCGGTACCGAGCTCTGATGGTCGGACGGCTGGAAGTGGTGGTGGTGGTGAAGATGGGTATAGTTATCGCCGGTGAGATCGCCCTGGATTCCGGTGGTCGTGGGTGTCGCCCAGGCGGCGTGGCTGTGGCCAATGTCGTCGAGAGACTGCGCGCTGGTCCCGAAGATGCTGTTGAGGACAGTGTTGTTGTCGTGGACAGTCACGCCATGGGACTGCGGTGGCACGTAGTGCCCGTCGTGGCCGATCCCGTATGCAGGCAGGCCGGAATGCGGCAGGGAGAGATCCGGCACACTCATCATGACGGGCCCGCCAGTGGAACCGCCGAGGCTCGTGGGCTGGCTGGTTTCGTGCGGTTGGAGATGGGAAAAGGAGTCCAGCACCGACGTCACCGATGTCTTGTCACCTAACCGATCTTCGGCCTTGATGTGTCCGAGGAAGTCGAAGGGTCCATTGGAATTGAACATGTTGGCAACACTGTCCTGGGGCTGTTGATACAGAGGCCAGTGCGGTTGCGAGGTAGTGGTGGTGTGCAGTAGTTCATGGGACTGAGGCGGGTGGTACGCACTGGGGCCGGGGCGGTTCATCAGGAGGGAGTCCAGTGGGATGGGAGGAAGGTCCAGTCCAGTCGGGGCTTTGGGACTCGCATGCGAAGTCCGCTCTGGGGGAGGAATGATCCGACGCCAAGTGGTGGTGCCGACCTCGTTGGGTCTCGTCTGCCGAAACTTCCAGAGCAGAATCGCAACCCGCTTCGGTTCGTTCACCCCATGGCCCGAGTACGAATTGGTGGACATCCGTCGCACATTATAAGGCGCGACTGCCCGGATCTCCTGGACTACCGTCAAGGTGCGAAGGTATTGTCTCCCAACTTCGTGCGAAACGTGATGTGGACCTCTTTCCTCGAACTTCTTCTGGTCTTGCGTGAGCTGCGTGAAGCAGTTGGCCCACCATCGGGATTCAAATAGTGGCTTGACCTTGGTCGAGCCCGGTTGGGCAACACTGTGACTATCTTCATAGACATTGCGGCCATTGTCATACATGGTTGTCTTACAAGTCCAGTTGCTCATCTGGTGAACCATCGGCACATCGCCGGCCGTTGCCGGGGCAAAGTCGAGTTCCAGGTGAATCCCCAATCTCGACCCCGTGGGAGGGAAGTTATCCATCAACTTCAGGTTGGCTTCAAGTAGAATAATCTCGCAATCAAGGGGGGTACTGGGATCTGCAATCAATAAACTCAAATCAGGAAAGGATGCCTGCCACCCTGGCAGGTCTTTCAAGGGTATCGGCGGTGCAACAGGATGGCGCTGGTCTCCCTGGAGCCGGCTGTAGATGTGGATGGCGTCGTCGATTCGGTTCGGCTGGTCTGGAGCGCTGACCCACATATCAAACCCAAGCCCCTGTACAGTGTTGATGTTGGCGTCGTGGAGACTGGAATTAAGGGAGATGTGCGCCGAGGGGATATCGCCAGCATAAGCATGCCCCAACCTCAAATGATCATAATGGGGGGTGTGGAAGTGATTGCCATAATGACTTGACAAGGGAGGGTCCAAGGAAGCCCTCCATTTTGGACCACTGGGCGGATGTTGGCTGTTCGAGCGGACGGCCGCCTCTTCTCGTACGAGTCGCTCCCCTGCTCTGCGTTAGTCCCGTTGTGTTTGCCCTTCTTCACGCCAGATGAAACTTACAGTCCGGGTCTCCTTTGAGGAATGAGTCGAGGACTTGCAGATGGCTGGACACTTGCTTTCTGGTTCGTCGTTTACCAGTTTTCTTGTAGATGTATTCAGCAATAAGCTCATTTCGACCATAGGACTTTCCTCGTTCCGACCATTTCCGTCGGCCCATCGGCGGATTCGCTTCGAGAGCTGTTGACCGGGTTACTTGAGTGCTCGTACACTACCATCCTCGAAGCTGCTCACCTTGTTGAAACGCGTCTTCAAGTTCGTCCGACCATACCGGTTCCCCATCTTTGCCAGTGTCTCGGCGAGGTCGGGCTCGATACTCGAGATACTTCTGCGACCTGAGGTAGCTTCTTGGTCGACGCGGTCCCACGAGGTTCGGCCCAACAGACTGCAGACGCCGCAGCTTCTTTGCCTGGAATCGTAGGCTCTGAGGAGGCCCAAGGCTAGAGACAGTGGGCACTGGATGTGTTGGCACAGGAGGTTGAGGGTACTTGTAGGCTAGATGATGCAGATGCTCGTCCCGCCCCGTGATCCCACTGTGTGCGAGGCTGTCCGAGTACGTCTGAACGTTCCCCGAGGTGTTCTGCAAGGCTCTGTCCGTATGAGCTCCGATACTGTCCAGAGTGGGTTGATGTTGAGGCAGAATACACTCCGTTTGCCAGTCAGTAGCCATGGGGCGGACCAGAGTGTAGGCTCTTGGAAAGAATGGCGACAAATTCCAAAGAGATAGGGGACGAGGACCGCGAAATGCTTACTACTGCCTGGCAAAGAACGTAGCAGTCACCCACCCAGCGATCAAGAACGTAAATGCTTGGAGAGAATGTAAGAACCCTACGAGAGAGAATGTGGGAGCGAGCAGCATGGTGTTTATAGGGAACCATTCTCTCCCCTGGAGAGGGAGGCCCAGTGACATTGCTCGATCCCACTGCTTGTTGATGAACCACCCCTCTAGGGCAACGAACCTCGATTGTCCAAGGCGGGGGGACAACAGGGAATCTCCTTCCAGGCTTCACGCGTCCAGACTGAGTGCTGAGCCCAGGAAACCACTGGGGAGCAAATCAGGAGGGAAGGAAGCCCACGATGGGCACGAGCCGGAGACTGATGCAAGGGGGTCCCTCAAGGTGCACGCTCCAGTGAGGTGCAACTCGGAGGTTTTCGCAGCGTGAGATGGACATCGTTACCTGAAAAGCAGGTACACAGCATCCAAACTGGACGAGTTGTGGCAAAGAGCCGGCTTTGGAATGAGCGTGAGCCAACAACATCGTCTCCAACCGTAGGTGTGGAATGTAACGAGGTAATTACGAAGATCAGGTCGGAATGTTGGTGAGAACCCTAGCTCCAGCTTAATTTGCACGTCCATAACCAAGGGTTTCGCATTGATTGAAGGTATGAATTGGTAGGTAGGTATAAGGGATTAAGGGAAGTAGTGAGCCCTGAATAGCACGGAGACTCGGGAGAAGGACCTTACTGGGATGACAGGACGAAACTCTCGTGAGAACAGGCACGAGCATCCGCTCGCTCTGCAGAACGCGTATGTACGTGTTGACAGCCGCAGGCGAACGTGAGAGCCTACTTCCACCCTCCAAACTCAGCGTCCCGGACGCAAGGGATATCATCACCATCAGTGCACCATTGCCATTGTCTGTCCCCTATCAACAGGGAGGAGAGGAAGGAAGTCAAAAGAACCAAGGGTAGAGAAGGGACTCTTTACTCCTCGTCCTGGGCCCCTACAGTGAACTTCTTGCGCCCAGGACCACTAAGTTTTTGTAGCTTCACCCTGTCCATCTGCTCTCCTACTTTCTTTTCGATCTGCTTGATCTCTTCCTCAGCATCGATCGCCTCCTCATTCGCGAATTCCAGCACCAGCTTCCTGCCCAGCAAATGCGTGTTCTTAAGGGCGTCCATGGCATTCTCCGCTTCACGAGCGCTTACAAAGTCAGCAAAACCGAAACCACGGGCCGTCCTGTCAAACTTCTGAGGCACCCGCACAGAGCGAAGCTGGCCATAGGCGCCAAATAGCGACCGGATGTCCTTCTTGGTAGCCTGGAACGGCAAGTTCTTGATGATGATCTTCGTCCGTCTGGCGGCCACCTTCTTCGCGGTGTCCTCCCGTCTCCGCTCCTCCGCAGCATCCATTCCGCGGTGAGACACCCTAACCACCAATTCATGCTGATCAAGCTTGTAGCCGTTCATCGCGCCTAGGGCAGCCTGGGCCTGAGCCTTGGTGCGGAACTCCACAAAGCCAAAGCCCATGCTGAGAGTCTGCCCAGGGCGTTTGGGGTCGGGCTTGGTCTTGATCCTAGCGGTGATAAAGCCATCCAGTGGTCGAAAAAGGTCCACAAAGCTCTGGTTGGTGGTAGCGAAGTTGAGGTTCTTTACAAATAGAGTGGTTGTGGGCAGGTTGTCATCGACAACCTCATCTGCCGCAAACGTGTCAGCCGTTGAGAATCCTTGCGAGACAGCCTTGATCTCGGTGGTTGGCTTCTGCGGCACAACGTTGGGATCAAATAGATCCTTGGGAGCCTTCTCTAGGAAGAGGATCGAGTCCCCTAGTTTGCGGTACGCAAGACTCTTGAAGGCTTTCTGGGCCTCGTCGGGGCGCGAAAACTCGACGATTGCTATGGTACCGCTGGGCGGCATCAGTAGCCTGGTGATTTGTCCATACGGATCAAATAGTTTCCTAATGTCATCAGTCTTGACGCCATATGAGAAGTTCTTTACTAGGATAGCCGTGTTTCCACGTTCCCGTTGCTTAAAGGCCTCAATATTGACGCCGTTGGCGGAGAAGTAGGCTTTCGTCTCCTGAATTACGTGCGTCTCAGCGTGCGCTTGCTTCACTGCTGCATCAGACGAAGTGGGGTCAAGCAAATCTGCTTTCGACACACCAAGACGTTCAGCTACTGACGACATGACAGCGTCGGCCTGGTTGAGTTAGCATTGGGGCATTCAAGATTGCAACGAGATAACTCACGTTCATGTACAGCGAGTTCCAACTAAAAGATGAAGATGCCGCCCCCATCTTCTTCTTGATTTGCATCTGCTTCTTCAGTGGCAGCTTCGCCAGCTCGGCCTCGTCAATCTTATACGTCTTCTTGGCAGCAGCCGGTAAAATATGCATCAAACGGCCTTGGAAGTGCTTGCCATCCAGCTGTTTGTAGGCCTCTACGGCAGCATCAGCATTGACATACTGGATGTAGGCAAAACCCTTGCTGGTGTTTGACCGAGTATCAACAGCAACGTGGATCTAGTCATGTTAGCATCGACCGACCAAACGATGAGTGGGATAAAAACATGAGAGGGTATAGCTCTTTCAGATATGCGAGGCATCTACTAAAATACTCGTTTCCTGGCAACATCATCTGCTTTGCATCGGATGTCCCTATCAGGTCGTTCATCATTGAGCTTGGGGGGAGGGGTGACAATGCAACGTGTAACGCGATCAAGACCAAGTAACTAACCTCTTCGATTTGGCCGAAAGGAGCAAAGATAGGATGAAGATCCGAATCCGACGTGTCATAAGCCAGATTGCGGACGAAGAGACGCGCTGAGATGCGAATGTTCTCGATGTTGGTGTCGACCTCCGGCTCCTTCGCTATTTTACCAGCGGAAGGTTCTTCGGTGGTGGCGACATCCTGAGCAGGTTCGGCGTCAACTTCCATCCTCGACTCTGCCTCATGAGAAGCAGCAGGCTTCTCCTGTGCGGGAGAGTCAAACTCTGCTTGCTCATCCTCGTCGAGGAGGCCAAGGAGACGACTCGTCTTGGAGCGAAGCCAGTCCGCATCCGAGACAGGCGCCTGTTCTTCCTCGGGGGCGACAGCATCATCCTGATCCGCCGACGGCTCGGCATCACCCTCGCCACTATGATCGACGACCATGGGCTCTGGTTCTGCTTCAGCTTGTTGGCCCGCATTATGCACTTCTCTAGGATTAGCCGGGACGTCTCCAAGCTTGGCCTTCTTCCTTTGGGCGTAAGTGAGCTCCTGCGGCTCCTCTTCTTCGTCTTCAACGGGCTTTTCTGCAGGTGAGTTTGTCTCTGGGGCTTTAGGCATGGCGTCGTCGTTGGCCCACGTCTTAGTCTTAGACGAGTGCTGCATTACGGAAAGGTACTCCTGCAGCTTGGGATCCTCGGTCTTGTCACCATCGCGCTTACGCTTGAGCGAACTTCCCGCATCGTCATGATCCTGGGCGTTGCCTGACTTGCGGGCTCTTGGGGTAGGTTCGGCATCAATCTACAAATTACTGGTCAGTCACAAGACCACCTTAATCGTCAGCGGGTAAGACAAAAAAAAAGGAAGAAGGAAGGAAAAGGATAAGTGCAACGAGATCAACAGGTGAAACACATACCGGCTTAGCAATGTCTACAGAGATCTTGGACATCTTCATGTAGGTCTTATTGAAATAAGACACGGCCTGTTGGGCAACCTCATGGCTCTTGAAGCCCACGAAGCCGATCCTGCGTTTGGGCAATACATGAGCGTCCGTGACCTGGAAGCGACTGGCAAAATGCTTTCTCAATTGATCATCAGAGAAAGTTGGCGGAAGGCCAGAGACAAAGACTCTGGTGCTTTCCATGATTGAGTAGTGGTTTGCTTCAGGTCCCTGTGGCCTACTCTCTCGAAAAGTGTGCGTGCCACAGGAATCGGGATGTGGAAGAGTGAAATCCGGGAAACAGAAAAAATTTTTGGCAGGGTGCTTTTTTATTTTCGGCATCCTTATAGTGCCGAAGGCGGTGTGAGGGGCGGCATGACCCGAGCCCCATCGGCTTTGGATCATTGCGGCGCGCAACCTGGAATTGTTGATTCCCAATACTCCTGGTTGGGCTTCATTGGTACTTTCTGCGCAAACGAATTTTGACTAATCATTCGATCTCTGGGTCTTTCTCTCCATTCTGAAACTTGTGATCAAGGATAAACTACAAACAAGATGGCTTCCGAAAAGAAGGACAAGCTTGAGCGTGAGTCAACCCGCGGCGTGATGGAGACGAGAGCTAACGGGCTTGTTTAGCGCAGATCAAGTCCGTCGATATGGTAAGGAGAACGAGAGCTATAGGAGCTTGGAAAACCACTGACGGGGTACCAGACGGAGGACATGCAGCAGGAGGCTGTTGAAGTTGGTATGTATGACTGCGGGGCTGATCTTGATCCCAACTAATGCGGGCTGTTTAGCGATCGAGGCGATGGACAAGTACCACATTGAGAAGGTAGGTTTCTACGATCGCAAGTCACTTAGAGACCTTACTGACAGTCGCAGGATATTGCCCAGTACATCAAGAGAGAGGTCAGCCGCCGCTCCGTTACTCGAATTCCAGCACTCCGCTTACACCTTAGCAGTTCGACTCGCGCAAGGGTGCGACATGGCACTGCGTGGTGGGAAGAAACTTTGGCAGCTTCGTGACACACGGTAGGTACAGCTGAAAGCTCCTTGAGGATATGGACTGATTGGGATCACAGAGACGAAACATTTCATCTACTTCTACCTCGGTCACTGCGCCATCCTCCTTTTCAAGACTCAATAAGCATACGAAGGGCACACAATGGTCGATATCGTTAAGCGTTTCCTGTACCTATTTCGGAGTTCTTTGCAGGCGAGTCACGCCGAGATATGTTCATATATAAATTGAAAGTATTGGCGTGGTTATTCTTATGCCATTGCGACTGGTTGGAAGGACGTAACATGGTGGGGGGAATCTCTGTAAACAAACCAGCTACTACTTCGCAGGACTCCTCTCGATTTATTTATTCTCCGAGAGATTATGGGAAAGTTAGTTACGAAAGAAATGATATCCGATCATCGCAACTCTTCTTGCTGCGTAGCTCTTCACTGTGGATGGGGCATGTACCAGGTATAGGGGCAGTCCTCCCCAGACACACCTCTTAACCCCATAAGTAGCACCCCCGAATCCCCGAAACCGGCCCGCCAAGGCCCAGCAGTCAGCAACCACCCGCTGCCAAGCCACACCGCCGCCACACATCCGCGCCTCTCAGTCCCAGCTCTTTTAACATGGCTGCCTTCCCCTACGATCGTCTCCCTTCCTTTCGAGCTTCGAATAATTAACTGAACGGCATCACGATTTCAATTCTCTATTCATCGCATTCCCAATCGCTCCCTCTCTCTCACCATATCCCCGACTGTTCCATAATCTCAAGATGGCCATCTGCATCACCTTCGGGACTCATGGTACGTGCCTGACCACTACGTAACCTACCAACTCCACCCTCGCCACAGCGGCATCCCCCATAGACCCTGAAATGAGCGCCCGGTTTCGGTTTCGGCATCAAGCTAACACCACGGGCACCACCAGAATTCACGTCCATGCTAGAAGGCTACGAGAATGTTCGTGCCTACTGCTACAACTGTGAGTATATTCCACGTTTCCTATCTTTCCTTTGGGACACCTATCAGTAAGCTGTGGGGGATATACTAGCCGCTATTTACTGCTATCTAAATATAGCATAGCAACAGCGGCACTATACAGTAGCAAGCATACACAGTACCCTCCCCGGAACCAATTTACCTAGCTAGTACTGACAAACAACCACCTCATCAGGCCAACATTGGAACGGACACTGTCTGACAAGATGGTAAGCATCTGTCCCAAAATCGCAGATACCGTTGATCGTGACACTAACCAAACCAGGCCCTGGTTCACCGTCTGCTTTGTTGTACGTTCGGCCTCCGACGACGACCCCCAGGCATCAATCATGGAAACTCGAATACTAACGCGATCACTTCTTCTCAGCCTGTCATTCCTCTCGCTATGCATAAGTACAAGGTAAGCAATATTCTCTCTTCAACCTATGACGAGGTACGTATTGGAACTCACGATCTACTACAGGAAGTAACCTGCTACACATGCCGCTTCACCCAGGATCTAGGGTAAGCCCCCAAGACCTCCAAACCTACGACAGCAACTGATCATTCTGGACACATAGCGACCGTCCAGATATCACCCCGGAGACAAGGCCTCCTCCGGGTGTCATACCGGGCCAATTACCCCAGGCGTATGGGGGCGGGGCGCCGTACTATCCACCCCCTCAGGCATCGGGCGCGGTGGCACCACAGCAGCAGCAGCAGCCAGGACAGCAGAACTTTGTGTATAAGTAAATGCTTCGATGTTTCCTGTCGGGTTCTGTTGTTTTGTTGCCGTTAGTATTTTCATCGACGGTGTGCGTTTTGTCTTCATGTTTGACTGGATTGGTAAGATACCTCTTTGCTTCCTGCTTGTTTGTTCATTTGCTGTTGCCATGCTTTATGCTGTGCTGTTTATCCTCTGCTCAAGTCTACAAGCGAAATGAGACTCAATATCATAAACGTTGCAATTCACTAGACATACTAAAAACAACAGTGGGGGTATATATATCCAAAAAAAAAAAAACCAAGCATAAGAACTAAGACCTCCCTCGCCAACGTATCCATAATCATCATCATCACAAGCACTCAATCCAAACCAGCCCATACCAAAGTACGAGTACCCTCAAATGAAATCTACTTCTCCCCCTCCAACACCCCTTTCTCCCCAGCATACACCGGCGTCTGTACCCCAGAAACCGTCTCACTTCCCGTCCCCGTTCCCGCACCCGCCGGGGGAGTCACCACAACCTCGCCTTCGATCGGCCTCCTCCTCGCCCCGCCTCTTCCCAACAAGTCCAGAGTCATCAACCGCACGGTGCGGACCATACTCTTCCGGCCCTCATACAGCGGGAACACCACCACGCCGAAGGTGGTGCAGAACAGCCACAGCAGGCCGACGACGATCCAGCCGGTGAAGAACTTCTTGCTGAAGACGTAGGAGCTGCCGTACATGGGCACGGGCCACAGGATCAGAAAGCAAAACACCATGACGACGGTCAGCGAGCGCGAGTAGAAGGCCGCGCGGTTGAGCTTGCGCGTCTCCTCTTCCTCCTGCGCCGCGGTGCGGGCCGCCACCTCGCCGGGGATCTGCTCCAGGTCGACGTGGGCGGCCGCGGCGACGTCGGTGTCATCCACCTTGCGGATGGCGCGCATGCTCTCGTAGTCGTAGTTCTGGGAGCCGAAGAGTAGGGTTAGGACGGGGGAGAAGATCATGGGGCTTAGGAGGGCGGCGACGTTGCCGGCGAGCATTGGGTAGCTGGGTTAGGTTAGTTCTTGGTTCTTTGGATGAGGGGGTTTTTTTTTTTCTGTTGGGGGGAGTGCGAAGGAAACGTACTTGGAGCCGGTCGTCGTGACGGTTAGGACCCCGTATTCCTTCTTCGCTGTCACGAGCCACGCGATGAGGGAGACGGCCAGACCCAGCGGAGGGGAGACTGCCGCGGCGATCCAGTTCTGGTGTTTCCAGACCAAGGTCATGGCACCGGGGAAGACGGCGGAGGAGATGATGACTCCCATCAACAGGTACAGGTAGCCCATGCTGATTCCGGCGTAGTAGAGACCGGTGGAGAAGGCAGCCATGGCGATGGCCCAGACCACGCAAGTCATGTGTGAGATCCAGACCAGACGCTTGCCTTTGGCTTCGGGGTTGATGTAGCCCTGGTAGATGTCGTAGGTGAAGATGGAGGAGACGGCGATTAGTTGGGCCGAGAAGGCGGAGGTCACTGCCATGAAGATCATGATCGTGGTGCATACCGCGCCGCTGTAGCCGAGCAACTTGACGGCAGCAAAGGGCAGCACAAGTCCGGCGGACACGTCGCTCGAGCTCAAGCGCTGGGTGCCCTCAAGAGCGAGGGCGGTCATTCCCATCGTGCTGGCGCAGAGCCAGGGAATAGCAAACCAACAGAGACCGCCGATGACATAGCCGGGGAAGGCGTGCACGGGGCTTGCTGCGATGGCTTTATTGTAGTATCCGTTGTCGAGGAAGACAGTACTGCGGGGGAGTTAGCAATTGACTGGACGTCTGGGATACAGAAAGACCAACCCAAAATTGCCCACGAGGTTGATCACCCAGAAAATGCCACCCTCCTTGGATCTCATAGTCAGATAGCTTCCCTCTGCGTTGCCCTCCACGGGGTGGCGGTTCGATGCAGCAACTAGTGCCTCATACACGGCGCCAGGGGATCCGAGCTTATCGTTTGTGGCATAGGCAGAGAAGGCGAAGATGAAGATGACGACAATGATTACCACGGTGTGCATGTAATCTGTAATGAACGTCGCCTTGATACCACCGAAGAGAGTATATAGCACAACACCGATCGGCAGGAGGAAGCAGGCTGCAACCGTGTGAACCCCGGTAAGAGAAGTCATGACGGCAGAGCCGCCGGTGAGCAGCATGGATGTAACCAGGATATTGGTCATCACGCAGAAGACAGTAAAGACGATATGGACGGTAGTTCCATAACGGGCACGGATGGCCTCCAAGAAGGTGTGCGCATTTGGAGCACGGCGTTTGAGCTCGATTGCCAGCGTTGCGAAGAGAATGATCTGGACAGTAGCACCTTAACAAAATATTAGTGAGCAGTCAGTGCTTAGTCTTTTGAGTTTTCCCACCTGAGGCATAGAAGAATGGACCTGAGATGCCATATTCATAGGCTACTGTAGACGACTGAAGAAGGGTTGCGGCCCAGGTCCAACTACTGACGACAGCTGCTGCAACCAGCCCCGACTTGACGGATCTTCCTGCAGTCGAGAACATTTCCGATGTTTGTACTTCATGCTGGTACCTGTGGGGCTACATTAGCTTGGCTGTCAAAAGTAGGTGCAATTGAGCCATAGTTCGGGTCAATACCTCTTCAAGGCCCACGTAATGAAAATCATCAGTAAGGCAAAGGCAAAGCCCAGCCCTACGATGATACCATAGCCAAACCCTTGGGAAAGGGGGGCTGTGAAACTGACGGTATCCGAAGACATGGTGACGTTCCTCGCCAAGCTTGTATTTATGGCGAAGCGAATGTTCTCTGTTGTCTTCCCAGATTTCGGTGTGCTCCTTGATTGAGAATGCGCTTGGAAAGTCCACCGGAAATGGACGAGCTGTAAGAGATCATATAGGCCAGCGGCGCATGGCAAAATCTCCGACCTCGCAGCCACATCTTGATCTACAGGATCATGATGGCGGATAAAGGCCTGTTCAGTCGCTGCAATTGGATCTGAGCGCAGGTTCGCGGAGTACAAAGAGTCATCGATAAGACGAGGGCATCGCTATCAATTCGTAATGGGGCAGCAGCTCAAGGCCGGGGAGCCAGAACAAACACTGAATCTCGCTTAAACGAGCTAGACCCAGCAGCTCTGGCTTGTTCATGCCGCATCTTTTTCGTGGAGACGGGTGGGATCCATGAAGTATTTTGACTTCCTGCAGATCCACTCTATCTTTGATAGCACCGCAAGGTCCTGTCATTGGCCGGGAGAGCATTTCTTATCAGCGGAGGTCAGCGAAGGCCCCCCGCCATTGGCCAATACGAGGTACAGTGGGAGTTTAAGGTGATAAGAAGCCGGAAACTGGGAGATAAGCAAGGACAGTGCCATGAAAGCATATGCCCAATGGTGATTTGTTGATGCCAAGACTGCCTGTCTAATCTTGGAAAAGATATCAATCTGCTTACTCGCTTACTCGCTTACTCGCTTACTCGATCTTACCATTAATGAATTGGGCACCGTGCTTGTGGCCGTGGGGAAACCCACGCGGTCCCTGCATACCAGGACCTACTAGGTAGTTAGTACCACGTAGTACCACCCGCAGACATCCACAAGAGGAGTTCCGCGAAGGGAGAAAAGGTGATTAGCAACAATACTATAAGTCATTGAATAGGCAGCTCCGCCCCCTTGGCGCTGCTTCCCACTCCCAAATCTCCGCGACACCCTTCCTTAGTGAAGCATTTCTTTCCCACGAGGTTTTCACATCTCACGAGATGCCCTCCTAGTTTGTCATGCATTCCCTGCAGGGTCATATAAGGTCTAGTCTGTGAACATAAAGATAGCCCCCTGCCCTCTGCATAGTCCTGTTGAAACATAAGTAGTGAATATATCGCAAAGTCATTGGTATTTGTCACTGGTTCTTCATAGTGTAGGATGTGAATTTCCTGCGCAAATCGAGGTGTAGGGCTTCAACCCGGTAGGCCATGTTCATGAAGTTTCTCTCTTCTCCTGCCTTCCTGTGAATCTCTCTTCTTCAACGGCTCTGTCTATCTCTTCTTCGCTCTTTCTCCCTCTCAGGAGAATCCTTGAGAAAGCTCCCGTACCGCAGGGGTATGGAGTGGTACAGCCCCTTGACAACTTACACGGCCCATGAGTCCTAGTTACGTCAACCCTGTTCGTGGTCCCACACCTTCCAGATAAACTACCAGGCCCTTCTCTCCAGGCTCAAGGTCCGAGGGATATATTGAACTGGGAAGCCCGTATAGCACTTCGCTAACTCAACGCGTATTGCTTAAGTGGGCTGGGCCCTGGGACGGAACTGGACACCCTTCGACAATCTGTTTGTTCGACTCTGGACATCTAAGTCGCTAGACTTAGGCATGGCCTTTCCAGATGAAATGATTGAACCGTTTTTTGATGAGGAGGAGGATTTAACTGGCGTAATTGTGAAGGTCCGCAGGCTCGCGATTTTTCGTCTACGCTATGTGGCATTGGAGCAGGAGAGCAATGAGTTGTCTGAGAAACCGTGATGGAGGGAGCATTGCTGCTCATCACAGCTAACTGTGATTCCCTATATCACTGCGTAAGTCCCATTCCCTTATGTTTGATCTCTATTACAGTTTAGTAACAGAAAAATCAGCAAATCCGCATGCTGTTGAACGTACCAGCCAGAATGTGCGAAGACGTCCAGTACTCATACCCTGCTGAATGTAAGTCATCTTATGCCTTTTTTTTCGAGTATTCATAACTGTCTTTACTGATAATTGTTGACTACCAGAGGATACCCTCATAGTGTTCTTGAGTCCAGTATACTGCATTGGAATCGTGCAGCTTCCAATTGATAATACGGTGAAAGGGAAGGAAATTACGGAGTACACGGGGGTATCATCATGCATGAACCCATGATGCTCCCTCTTGAATGCTCCAATGGCTAGCAGGCGATTGGAAGAATCCCGGCCGACTAGTCGAGAGACAAACTAAAGCCTAACGTCCTTAGGCAGTTCATCCACACACTGAGTGTCCGTCCGTGGACCTTGCCCTGTCCCTTAGTCGGAGTTTCGGAGCGGTTACTGGCTTGCAGCTGCATACAGACCCCTGATTGGTCACGCCGATATACTGTGCTACCTAGGAAATCCATGATATCTTATCAACCTGCCCGTGTTAACAGGCACCTAGAAACTACCGGTGAGGTACACATAGGACATTACTTGAGATGGTTTGGCCCTCAATGACTGCATTGTCCATACTAATGAGGCATCATTCACCTCTGGATCCGACAACACCGCAATTAGCGAGCTATGTCAAACAGCCCAATGCTCATGCCATCGCAACCGGAAGAAAAATTGTTGGGATCGAACTCATGTCCAGTTCATGCACACAACATCGGCTCAACACGTTCTCCGTGGGAGAACCGCTCAGGGGTTAGAATGAAAGACGGCGCGATCGAGGAAAAGGTGGCATGACACGCAATCAGCACTAACCCCGAAGCTACCAAGCAGCCAGATATACGGTACACCATTCCAATGCCCCCCTTTAACAAGCCAACCCAACATGAACACCACCGCGATCAAAATCACAATCACCAACATGGCCGACGATCACACTCCCAATACGACGATCTACCAAGACGCACATCTAACCGTCAACCTCACCCTCCGCCCCACCACCCCAGGCCACACCGTCGCGACGCTCACCACGAACCAAACCAACCTCTTCAACCTCCCCCCGCCCACCTTCGTGGAAACCCTCCAAACGCTCCGCACCATCGCCTCCCACCTCCGCAAGGCATACAATGTCCAGCGCTGCGCCCTGATCACCACGGGGGGAGCGAGCGTCTCGATCCTCCCGCTCCACGGCCTCACCCCGCAATGGACCCCGGTCACGCACCCCACCAAGGAATTCCACCCGCAGTACCCGGGGTACATCACCTCGAAAGACGCGCCGCCGCTGCCCACGCCGCAGCTCAACACCATCCGCAGCTCCATCCTGTTCGCGGCATCCAGATCCCCGACCACCTACCACGCCGACCACACCTTCCACGGCCCGGACCCGGACGACGCCAACCTCTTCGCGCGCATCGTGCGCGGGGAACTCTCCCCGCAGTGGCGGGTCTGGGAGGACGCGCGCCACGTCGCCTTCCTGACGCCGTACCCCAACACCCCCGGGTTCACGGTGGTGGTGCCGCGCGCGCACCTGTCGAGCGACATCTTCTCGCTGTCGCCTGAGGACTATGCCGGGCTGGTGGAGGCGGCGCACACAGTGGCGAAGCTGCTGATCCGGGCGTTTGGGATCGAGCGCTGCGGGATGATCTTCGAGGGGTTCGAGATCGACTACGCGCATGTCAAGCTGGTGCCCATCCGCGGCGGCGGCGGTGATGACTACGATGAGGACGACTACGACCGCTACGGCATCAGCGAGCCGTTCCAGGAGACCTATCAGGGGTATGTCTCCTCCATGCCGGGGCCGAGGGTGGAGGTTGTAGAGGCGGTGGTGAAGAGGGCGGCGGAGATTCGAGAGTCGATCGGTTCACATTCTTAGCTTTGCTCGTGGGTTAGAAAGCGTGACCGTTTATCTAGACCTTGATTGGCTTCAAAGATGTTGTAATGATATGAATCAATCTTTCTGTACATTCTCTTCCGTCGTGCTTTCGCACTATGAACCTTTTTGCCTCTCCCCCTTTCGAAGAAAGACTACTATGGCAACGCCAGGCAGCGATTGAGGTCCAAGACGCTGAGACGGGAACAGCGCCAGCCCAAAATGTGTACTACTGATGCAGCAGCTCATCTGTGAAGCTTCGGACCGCCTAGACCCGAGAAATGCTTCCTCTGCTTGCAGGTACAGTGGGCTGACAGATCGTATAGAAGCTAGATATAAGCTCAAGGTAGAAGTCAAGTACTGCATGTGTTACCAGTATACTATGTTCTCTGGAGCCTATCGGGCTCTTGTGAAGCTGCCTCTGGAAGGCACTGGCTAGTAATTCGGTTCCTCACATTCGTGGAGCATGATAGCCTTTGCCAGCATGTATACTATAGCATGGCTCTCTACCTCTGTCGCCTTACTTCTCCTGTTTTGTCTTTTGCTTCGCTAACCAGGTCTCTCCCCACAGTTTCAGTGTCCCCGGCTGCCAGAACCTTCCCTTATCTGCTTCGCATTCTTATACTCTATGCGCAGGATTCCAAGTCTGTTTTTCATAGCGTGGGTCGATGGTTTCGGTTCTTCCGCTGGGTACGCTGACGTATACGATAACCGTTTGGTCGGAACTCGTTTTCATTGATAAGCACTAAAATTACACATATGCATTTCATTCCAAGTCTCTCTCTCTTTCTCTGTCTTTCCCTTGTGGAATTCTCCTCTGCTTGATCGAGCATGTCCATTTCCATCCTATGCAGCAGATAGGTATGAATCCGGACAAAATACAAAAGCGCGCTGGGTCAAAAATGCGTGTGTTGCGAAAAGATGTCTCCATCACCGGCGCACGCAGAAAATAACGGGTAAAGGGGGGACACCAAGGTGGGGTATATGATTTCGAAGGTGATAAATGATGCGACGATCTGATTCTCTCGGTCGGAGTTTCAGCCCAGGCCAACCAATCTCGCGGGCCCCGGATGGAATTTACCGATTGATAGCGTGCTGCGTATCAAGAAGATCCGGGTTTCAGAGTGTCTGACGGTGAACCGATGGCGTTTGGGGGCTAATTTACGAGGAGAACTTGCGGGTGATCTTGGCGATGACTGTAGAATAGGGGGAAACGGTCAGTGGTTGATTCTTTGGATTGATGCTTGAGGGATGGGTGGAACGTACCGTGCAGACCAACGACGGAGAAGATGAATCCCAGACTGAGAACCAGGACGACGACGGGGTCGACCCTCAAGCCGGGGCTCTCGTCGGTGTAGAGCTTCAGCATCGTGCCAGAAGAACCACCGGCACCGGCAGCGCGGGTCGAGCTGGGTCGGGCATTGCGGAGGGACTCCTTGTGGTCAGCGGCCGCGCGGCGACGCAAAGCAGCCCGGGGACCACCAGGAGGAGTAGGGGAGGAAGGGCGGTTGACGGTGGAGACGGCAGAGGCACCGGAGCCAGCGCCGGCAGACTTGGAGTCAGGGCCGGACTCAGCTCCGGAGGTTAGGGGAGAAGCTGCACGAGGAGAAGCCTATAGCACTGAGGTCAGTTTCAATTCGAATGCTGAAGTGGATAGCGGCGGTCGGCTTGGGGGAGATCATCCAGCTCGCGCAAAGGACAATCGAGGTGCGCGCTGAGACAACAGGCAGGACGAGGGCACTGACCATTATGAAAGTGGAATCAAGAAAGGGCTAAAAAGCAAAGAAAGCAAGTATGATATTAAAGTTGAGGAACAAAGAGATAGATGGGTCAATTGGCCGATGGGACAAGGAAGTCGGCTGGGGAGAAGAAGGACGAGGTGGATGGCAGAAGGTCGGGGGAGGTGAAGGTGCGGGTTGCCAGAAAGAGGCCACGCTCACGTTTCCATTTGGCGGGTTACCGTCACATACAATTCTGCCGGGCGGCAATCGATTGCGAGAAAGCAGTCAAGCAGTTAACATTCATTGATACAAGAATATTTAACAAAAACTCTTAGCTTTTGATAAATAGATCCGATATAGTGTAACGGCTATCATACCTGTCTTTCACACAGGAGATCGGGGTTCGATTCCCCGTATCGGAGTCACAAGTATCATCTCTTTTTGCTGTTGTTTTACCCTCGATTTTGCAGTGGGAGCCGAAATTCTCAGCCCGCAGCTCCGTGATGTGGTCCGTGCTCCCGCGTACCGCCCCCGTCTCTACCAATGGACCCGCGGGAAACTGATATTCTCTCGGCAAATGAACTCTTTCAAGGTAGGCGGTGTGAAATGCCGTGGGCACTGCTACACCTTTGGTCTTATGAACTGTACCTCAATTATCATCTCTGGGACATCTGACTCGCTATCTTGCATCATCTATTGGTGTCATGTCGCTTTCTCATGATCTCATCATAGAGATATGCTTCAAGTGTCGAAAGCATGACAGTTCGGACTATGCCACCGACACCAACCCAAGAATCGACTTTCTCCTGAACGCCCAAATACGAGCAAGCAAGTCCCTTTGGTTTACTGCAGTGTCTGCACCTAAGTGTCTAGTAGATGCAAGCACCGCGCTCACTGTCTATTCAACAATCCGCTGAAATCGTTACTAATTTAGTCTAGGATCTGGATGGTGCGGGATGGAGAACTGAGAACCATGTCGAAGCTCGAGTTTAAAGGCTAACGACCCTGTCACCCATAAGCCGGTACCCATCAGGGAATAGTGCTTGATTTGCAGTAGGGTATATATGAATCAGATGTCACCATGGCGATGGATCCTACACAGTATACGAAGTACTACGTAGACTATTTCTAGCCTGTCAGAGGAGAACTGCTGGAAATTTATCTGTTAAGACCGCTGTTTCACAAAAGACCGAGTCTTCCCTCCGAGTGGACGGACAGCCACCTGAAGGGAACGGCAAGGAGGCACTAAAATAGCCACACCATGCCACACCAGGGTCACCGCATGGTCACGGTAGCTGTGGGTTGTGGCTTGTTTCCTGCACCCAACCCAACTCTCTCTCTCTCTCTCTCTCTCTCTCTCCCTCCTTGAACGGTTCCAGTACGTAGCAGCATTCGGCCTCTCTCTAGCCCGAACAGCTAGCTACCTCCTCGCATCCCAGTGGTGGGATAATACCCTACACAGCAACAAGTACGCAGGCAAGGCAAGGTACTGAGTGACTAGTCGAGTGGCAGGCTAGGTAGAAGAGTACGTAGCCCTCCCCAGTAATCGAATCAACAATGAGGGTTGTTGGTTTCTTTCATCCTCAGGCGAGAGTACCATCTTATCTTTCAATGGGAACGGAACCACTGCGCTACATTATTGCTTCCGGTAATTGGCCTTGTAATAGCCAACTATCCCTCTTCGAGTCTTCAGATGTATCTCCCATCAACTCAAGGGTTCGATTCAATTGACAGCTGAAGTGGCAGCGGTTCTTTCCCATTGACGTTCGGCACATTCTTGCCGGTCCAGGTCAGGCAGAAACCGGGGGGGGAGGAGGAGAAAGATGCATAAATTGAACCATGGAATCTGGCCCCCCGTCCATCCCCCGGGCGAAATTTTGGTTTCAAAAGTTCGCAGCAGGCAGACAGCCAGCCCATCGCATGGGTCCGACCCACCCCACTGCAACGCCTGCAACGCGACAATTCAGGAGTAATCGAGGCTAGTTTATTTCTCCCTTGAGTTAGTCTCAGGCACGGGTTATTTCTACGTACGAATCCTAAGATTACTAGCCACCACCGCCATCTTACTCTACTCTTTTCCGCGAAGTACTCCATACGTACGGAGTACTTTTTGCGTAAATTATCCAGAGGATAGTTAGCCAAGACTGGACCTGCCGTGGCTCGAATACCAAGAACTCCTGGGAGGTGTTAGAGCAACATAAGACAACATAAGACTCTAATTAAAAAGTTCCCGTGCGCGAGTCAACAGCGAGATTAAGCACCACAAATTTAGAACTGAGGGTGGGATACTCCTCAATGGACAATCCAACACATTTCCAGCTAACTTAACTTCATACCGTTAACTGTCGCCGGTTAAGGCTATTTATTTTTCTTGGTCGCATTTGTTGTCGGTGGTGTCCGTCCGGTGGGGAAGAGAGCACTGGAAGCTCTCTCATTCAGTTGGATTCCTTTTTCTGCCTGTCTATCTGCTTGTCTGTCTGTCTGTCTGTCTGTCCGTCTGTCTGTTCGTGATTCTTCCTTTCTTCCTTTCTCTCTCCCCTCTCTGTTCTATTCTTTGGGGATCGTCCCTGCAGTTTCCCTTTTGAATCGGACACTTGACCCTTCCGTTGCGTCTGGAACTTCAGCTGGACTTCTTCCGCTTGGCTGCTTCTTTTCTTTGCCCGCCCGACCGGCAAAGGTAAAAAAGTAAGTATCTTCGTACTCGTAATAATACATTTTCCTCCTCTTCCCTTCTTTCGCCTCGTTGTTTCCTCCTCACTGCGGCTCAGACTTCCCTTTCTTCCCCCCATCGTCCCCCCCGTCTTCTGTTGTCCTCCACCTGTCCCTCATCTTCAACACTCAGCACCTCTTCCTCTTCTCCTTCCTATTCCTCCAACACTCGTTTCTCAACCCATCAGTCTCTCTTTCACAACTAGTCTTTCGTTTTCTTTCTCCCTCCCTCCCACACCCCCCTCATTCCCGGCTGAAACCGACACACCAGCCTGACTCGTGACCCTGCATGTGCTCAGCCTTACACCCAGCCAGCCTGGTCCTCCACCAGTCCCGAGCCATCGACCACCGGACTGAGCCTCCCCGCCAAATCTCCGTCGCGACTTTTCTCACGCGGCCTAGTAACCAAACACATCGCCTCTAGAGATCTCGACGCTTTCCTTTCCACTCGCAGCCCAGCCTCCTGGACTGTCCTCCGTCTGGTCTAGGCTGATTTTCAGGGGATTTGGTGTGGCTTATGCGCCTGGGATCCTATCGTCACCGTTCCGGTCATTATCGAGATTTCACCTCCTGAACCACCTAGAGTCTTTTCAGGCCAAGCGACATATCTGAGAGTTTGGGGATCGCGACAGCCAAAACAGCACTCATCGTCACCTCGACCTCCGACTTTCCGATCTTCTCCCGAAACGAAAAACGCCGCCATTTGGTGGTGAAACCAGCATATTGTATCCAGATCCCGATCCTCCGACGGACACCAGCTCCGTCACGGAGCACTTCGTCAAAATTTATTCCAACACATCGCGGGCCTCCCTCCTGGGGGGCTCTTTTGATCCGTCCTTTCGGCGTGGTTTTCGTGGACGGGAAGGATACACAAACGTTCCTCCGGATCCCCCAAAGCGACACAGGATGTACCGCCCCAATTCTCTGTGGACGTGGTCCTTCTGCATTGTCACCCTTGTCCAAACGATCATTACCCTCGCCCTGGAGTGGTATGTGCAAATAGTCTCCGTGTTCAAACTGTCGGGTCCGAAGCTAATCCTTCCGCAAAAGTTATATTTTCGTCAATTTCCAGGTCCAATTGCTCCCATCGGCCGCCACGACGACTGCCTCGAAACCTATTCCAACCTTCCTAGCCCTCTATAGCTTCGGGTTCATCTATGAGCTGATTCTCGTTTACGATGCGCTACGCCTTAAGAACACTATTCAGGTTATCGGACTGTGCATGTGCAATATCGGGTTGTTGATTTACGGGGCCGTGCAGGTGCAACAAATTCGCGATGCTGTACAAATTCTCTGGGACAATGGTGCTATTGCGGAAAATGTCTGGGGGGAAACAGAGCCTTTCCTTATCATCATCCCCTGCGTCGTGGCTATGGGTTCAATCTTGATGGTGATCGTTGCCTGGAAACTATACGACGAGTTCGCATGGTCTATCTACAAACATATCAGCGCCGATCTGCGAATGAAGCGCCGGTATCTGACTTATCAGGTATGTGCTCGTATAAGGGTTACGCGCTTCGCCCATGCTTACAATCATGTTAGATCTATATCTCGCTTCTGAAATTCGACTTCTTCTTCTTCCTTGGTTTTACCGTTCAATTCGTCGTTATCGTCACGAATAGGACCGACATAGAATTCGCCCTTACACTAGCTGCCATTCCCGTGACAATTATAATTCTGATCTGTGCGGCCTTCTTCGTGCGGCGCGAAAGTTCGATTGGCATGATTGTTGTCATTGTATGTTTCTATGGTACTCGTTTAAGCCCCGCAGATCATCAGCTGACTGTTTCGCTAGCTCCTTTACTTCGCGGCCATGGCCTATTTCTTGTTCAAGCTAGTCCGGATGTACCAGCCTGGTACTTATGACCTATACTTGACTGCTCGGCGCTCTTTGACATTCTTCGCCGTCATCACCCTTGTGCTCATCGTCATCACCATTATCAACGCCTGTGTGTGTATGCACAACTTCCACAAGGGCCTGAAGCAACATGTACACAAGAAGAAGACGCAGAACAAAGAGGGCAAGACGACTGAGCTGTCCTCTAACATCTCTTCTGGCCAGGTGCCTACTCGAATGATGATCGATTGAGCAAATCGCAGGCTACATTCTACGAGTTCTGGAGAGAGACCGAAAAGACCCAAACGACCAAAAGATGCCATGTTCGATTCTCATATCGTCACCCCGACGCTGGTTGGTGGGGCGATATTCTATTACAGATTAGCGAGTTTGTGCGACATTTCTTGCCGGCAGAGTTTCCTAATACCTTGGATAGTTGAAGATTGCGCGCGTTTCCCGGGATTTACCACATGATACCTACTGCTTTGTTCGACATTTTGACGACTCATCAAATACCCTTCCTTTCATTTACATACTGACTCTCCTTGCCTTGTGCCGGACCGCTGCTATATCTGGCCCACCATCCTACTTGACTGTGCTTGTTCCTGGTGGCGCTATATCCGGCGTCATATTGACGATTCTTGTATTTTTCCTTACCTCTCTGATTATGTCAATATCACGACTGTGCATCTGTTTTCATGTACTGTATGTAGTTTATTAATCCACTTGAAAACTGTCATGAATTGTGGTACGTGGGGTTGCATTGTAACATTCTCTATCGACTAAGGGTGATGAAAGAGGGAGCCCGCAGGTGTGCACCTGCTCTCTGTCTGTGGGGAATGCGGCACTCATTCCCGGAGTCCTATGTTGGTCTACCAATTGGGAAGGTCCGACCGGGGGTAGGCCGCGACCGGATGAACCTTCCTTTCCTGGTGACTTGTTCTAGTGATGTGCGCTTTATCTTGACGGTCCAGTGATGAGACATTGTGAACTTCTTGCAGACAATGTCAAAAGAATGAACAATGACAAAAAGATTTAAAGGATGTCTCCGATACGGGGAATCGAACCCCGATCTCCTGTGTGAAAGACAGGTATGATAGCCGTTACACTATATCGGATGTAGTTATGAGAATAACATGCTCTGTGCTGAATGTCCCAATAGCCAAGCAGCAATCGGCGCTGCAAGAGAAGCATCTTCTACACTGCTTCCGTGTGGCTTTCCTATATATGCCTTCGGCTTCTAGCTCCCATGCTTGTCCCTATTCAGGTCTGGCTTTCCTAGGTCGAACTACTCATGGTTAAGTATCGTTGCGGTACCTTGGCTCATACAGCGACTCATATTTTCGTTGCGGGTAGTCTATCGGAGCTACATATTGCCTTCGCTGTGTACGAGGTTATGTGGTCGCGATATGACATCGATATCTCTGTCTCTTTTGTCCGCCTGCCATTGTATGCTAGAATCGGGCTCCGGTGTCTTAGCTGCGTGGGTCTACATTGCTTGAATGGGTCGGAGGGGGGTTCTCGGGCAGGCACCGAGGTAGTTACATCTTGATTTTCGGTGTTGTCTTGGTGCTTGGGCCACGTCTGTACTCCTGTTGGTGATTGATGTCGGCGTCCTGTCATCGTTCTACCATGCGTCAAGTAATTTGCGCCTGTGTTTGTCCGGGACAACGTAGCTCATACCGTGGACTGCAGAGTCGGATGGTGGGCCGAAGATATATACGCCTCCCATCTATGGGTCCGAGTCATCAAAACATCTGTGACGTAGGGAGCTTCTAGTTGATATACTTCGCGATCGGGGTGTATGATTAAAGTAAAAAGGTGAAAGAGCCAAAGGACATGGTCTGGAAAGAATAGCAACAAAATTGCTAAAGCTACCACTAAGTCTATGGCTGCCTCAGGAAGACGATGAGTGCCTTGAAATTTTTGTCACTTTTAACGAATTAGAGAGTTGTTTCAACAAGGAGGCCGGATGGTGTAGTTGGTTATCACGTATCGTTAACACCGATAAGGTCCTGGGATCGAGCCCCAGTCTGGTCAACTCTTTTTGCACATCCAGGTATTGTCGTGCTGACAACCATGCCGTGTCGCTGATAATTTTGTCCTTTTTTTAGTTTATTAAAGAATGCTACAACACACACAATTTAGGGGGGCATCGGTGATTGAGCTTACCAACGGACACCCATATAACAGTCATGTTATGGTAACAGTACAATGTCCATATTCACGCCCCCTAGTTCCAACGTGAGCTACTCACTTGCGCCCTATTGTTCTTGCATGTTCAGAAGCCAATCTTCTCACATTGAAAGCTGAGCGCTGGAGGAGAGGGTTGCTTTGACCATGCCAGTTCTTTGGGTCACGTCTTACCATATAGATTGCGTCAATCTTGAGGGTAAAAAGAGTACCAGTAACAGTGGCAAGCCTGGATGTGCAAAAAGAGATGACCAGACTGGGGCTCGATCCCAGGACCTTATCGGTGTTAACGATACGTGATAACCAACTACACCATCCGGCCAATTGATATCAGGACAAGTGTGAGCTGCTTTCGAGACCGAAAGCATCCAGTGCTCGATAGCAGCCATGGAACCTTGAACCTCTGGAAGACCCCCTAAGCAGCAACGTGCAACTCGCTTATCCCGATATTGCTCATATTAAAAGTAACCTCTTTGCTATTCTCCCGTGCTGACCTGGCATAAAAATAGTTACGTTTGGCAGCATTGAGTCCCCACATCTAGACGAACAGACGACTCGTACAATGAGAATAAGGTTCACTCACCATGAGCCAGAGCGACATCCCCTCAGCCTCGCGAGCTGGATGCCAAGTGCGGCTAAACCATGTGGGCTCTGGCACCCGAACCACCCAGTCACATTTCACCTTCAGCACCACAGCCGCACGTCGCCCAGGCGGGGTTCAGGGATACTTCTACATTAGTGCTGCACGGCTGATGGGCCATGCTTCGTCCATTTGTTCCCGCTCCCCCCATCGGACAACGGTCGACATGCATATTGTATCTACCGGTAAGGCGGCCTACCCAACGGTTGGGATTCCATTGTGTACACAGCCAATCATTCGAGCGGGATTTCTCGCGGATAGAGTTCTGCCACCACTGTCAGCAATAAGAACATTGAAAATGAATGCGCATATGCGTTGTCCGTTTGCGGACGGTGACCCGAGTCTCTCAGTGCCTCTTGATGTCTCATGATGTCTGGATCTCACTGACGCCCAGATGCGGAAATCACCGCCATCTTACCGTCGGTAAGGCCGGGCCAATTCACATGATTGGGCTCAAGGGAGCTCGAGCACTCTTCGGCATATCGAAATTACGATGTTGTATTTGGGTATTGTGGGGGAAACGTGATGCCTCTTGAATGGGTGCGATAATCACGCCATGACAGCAAAATGGGGTTTCGGAGTGCGATGGTGGTTGCTATTTGTTGCGGTAGACACGCAGCTTCTGCCATCCATCCCCCCTAGCGTGCAGACTAAACTCCAACGCTCATTGCCTTGACTCGTCTGGCCCGTCCTCAACTTATCTCTACCTAATCTAGAGCAATGTGAAGTCCACATTTTTTCTTCGACGGAGCTTCATCTGTCCCCTTGCGATCGTCGTAGACAATGAAGCCGCCGGTGTTTGGAGTGGAACCTCTAAACTATCACAGTAGTATTGGTGTTAGTATTTATACATTGTCATTGCCCACCCTCCTCACACCTACTTGAAATCAGGTCGTCACTTTCTGTACGCAATAGGTGGACTGTCTATCACCTTCACCATGGAGAAGACCTCTCAATCCAAGTTCCGCGTGGTCATAGTGGGTGGCTCCATCGCTGGCCTCACACTTGCCCACTCCCTTCTCCGAAACAACATTGACTTTGTTGTCTTGGAGTCCCATGATGACATCGCGCCTCAGGTAGGTGCATCCATTGGCCTTAGCCCGAATGGCAGTCGCATCTTCGATCAGATCGGTGTTTTCGACGACATTTATGATATCGTGGAGCCGCTCCATAGAGAGCTCATCTGGTCCGATAGAGGCAAGCTCATCAACGAGTCGATCGACCTGCGCCTCGTCTTAGAGAGGTAGGTCATTCGCGCGCCCTATCCAACATCTCTGCTGCGATTGTGTGAGAAGTGATATGTGATCACCCGCTGACGGGAAATCAGACATGGGTACCCAGTAGCATTTCTCGATCGGCAGGCGGTACTCGCAGTCCTTCACAAGCATCTAGGGTCTGCGCAAGATCGGGTATTTCTCAACAAGAGAGTGACAAAAGTGGACCACCTGCTCGAGAAGGTGGTGGTACACTGTGAAGATAACACCACTTTCGAGGGAGACTTGGTAGTGGGTGCGGATGGCGTCAGGAGTAACATCCGGTATCAGATGTGGGACTATATGGAAACCCGCGGGCTCATCAATGAGATCGCGGAGGAAAGAACACGTATGCGACCTCCGTTCTGGGACTGGAAGCCCGTACTGATACGTCCCCTCGTGGGGTATAGGGATGAAGTCCGAGTATAACTGTGTGTTTGGCATCTCGCAGCCAACCCCGGGGCTGGAACCGGGGCTTCTTCATCGGACGTATGGCGAGGATTGGTCATTTCTGGTGATCTCAAGCAAGGGTGGGCGCGTCTACTGGTTCTTCTTCACCAAGATGGATCAGGTCTACACAGGCAACGAGACCCCTCGGTATAGCCAGGATGATCTCGAAAAGCACATAGCAGCCTACCTGGACAAGCCGGTCACCGATACCGTGCCATTCTCCGAGGTGGTTCAAAGAACGATAACGCGAACAATGGTTCCTCTGGAAGAGGCCCTGTTTAAGCACTGGTGCATGGATCGCTTTGTCTGTATTGGTGACTCGATTCACAAGGTATGTTGAGCCGAGAGCTAGTTATAACGTGGTAGTGTTGCTGATTACCTGGTTGCATTGCACAGATGACCCCCAACCTGGGCCAGGGCGGGATGAGTGCTATCGAGAGTGCCGCGTCTTTGGCCAATAGCCTAGCCACTTTGGTACAAAGCTCGGCCGAGGAGCGCATCCCTGTCGGTGAAATTGACCGCTGTCTGAAGGCCTGGGAAGAAGCCCGACTTGCTCGTCTCCCCGCCATATATTCTGCCGCTGGTGATTTGACTCGCATTGAGTCTTTGGCGTCCCCAAAATATAAGTTCATTGCACTCAGGGTACTGCCACACATTGGCCGCTACCTGATGGATCTCAACTCCAAGAATATGGCTGGAGCCGTCAAGCTCGACTGCGAGCCAGTCCCGCCAAGGTCGTTGCAGGGCACCATGCCGTACACTGACAGCTACCCCTACACCCCCGCTGATAAGGCCTGGAAGCGAGCTCTTTGGACTGCTCCTTTGGTGGGCTGTTACGCTGCTGCGAGCGCAACCATGGGGGCCGTGATCCAGAAGCTCATGCCATACCTGATTACACAAATCAGCCAAGGAACCTGGACCGCCAGCAATGGTGAGGCCATCAGCCTGGCCAAACCGGTCTACCACGTCCCATTTCTGGACAACCTTCTCCGACCTATGATTCTCTGCTTTTTGCCCTCGATCAGCGGGACCGACCCATATTCGCGGCTTCAGATGCTGTCGTTCATGACCGATCTGGGCCCGGTGTATGGCATTTGGCTTTTGGAGAGCCTCCGCGGAGCAGAGTCATGGTACAAAGTGTTACTGTAAGCATCCCTATCATCTCAATCTTGAACCCTGCAGCACCTAACCTTGCGTCTCCATAGACCCATAACCGCCGGCGTTGCCTTCCAAGTCCGCGGAATCGGCCTGATAGCCCCTCTCTACTACGCAGCCGAATACATCACCGCACCCCTCGGTCGCATTCTCCCGGGCCATAACCGCATGATCGACCCGTCCACGACGGGGTCCTTGCTGATCTCCCTCCTGGGCAGCTACCACCTCACCACCTACGCCAACTTCATCCCCCGCACCGTCGAAACCCGACGCTGGTACAATGCCATATGGCAACTCTTCCCCGTAACGGTGCCCCTCCTCCAGCTCTCGATCGCCCTCCTCGCGAAGCGCCTTTTCCCCGCCCCGCCACCGGCCGACCCGGACGCTCGTCGTAAGACGCGCAGGAGAAACATCCGCACCGTGCGGTTCTTCTACCGCACCCTCGCCCTCCTCTCCGGTATCACCTTCATCTACACGCGCCTCACTAAGCCCCGGGGCGCCTCCATGGCCAGCCTCTTCTTTCCGGGTCTGACGGAGCACCTCGCTCCCGTGACCTCATTTCCGCAGGGGATCGCGCGATTCCTGCAGTATGACCAGGTCATCTCCATGGCGAGCGGGTTCGTGTGGCTGGCGCTGAGGTCCCGGGAGCTGCAGCAGCGACAGCAGGCGCGGTCCGAGGCAACGTTCTCCTGGTGGAAGGCTGTCGGTGCGTGCGCCGCTTCGACTTTTGCGTTGGGGCCGGGTGCTACTTTTGCTCTGGGCTGGGGATGGAGGGAGGAGATGTTGGAGCGCATGGCGGTGTCGATGCAGTACGGTGGTAGTGACTCTGAGAAGGAGGAGTAACTGGAAGGAGTCGGGAGGAAGAGATAGACCGGCGTAGGTTGGAGAGGGAAGCGTACATGACATACACCTTACAGTACAGCAGATATTAATGGGTTTGCATATTCACCAAGACCCCGGATATCTTTTAACATAGTACAACCAAAGCAGACAAAAAACAACAAAGGAATAAAACACGTCTTGCATGCAAAGAAGCTAAAAAAGAGACAAAGGGCGGTTTCGTACGTACTGGGCGGAGAAAGAGTCGCCACCCCAACCCAAGACCAAAAAGAAGTTGTCCCCGGGCGGGCTCGAACCGCCGATCGTCACGATACGATACATGAAATGTCTTCGTATTATAAGCGTGAAGCCTTAACCAACTTGGCCACGAGGACCTGCCAACTCGACCATCCGGTCCACGTTGTTGGTGGTGGTGGGGCATGCTTGAATTATATAGAGCAATTGTTATCGAGTCGTCATCAAAACACTTTTACGAATTCGTCGACCCTGAACCATGGGTTCTTATGGGGTTGTTGTTTACCTCCCGAAATCGGTATATATTCGGCCGTTCTGGGTGTTTTCTTTACTGTTGTTTGTGAGGTATAGATAGTTGCGATATGGTGGTTTATGCGATACTTGGATGGTGGGCTGGGTTGGGCGGCGGCAGGTACAGTACGCGACTTTGAGCTCAGCGACTCCGGTCTTCTTTGCATGACACAACTCGTCCTGGGCAAGTGTTATTGCTCCGTTTTCACGAGCGAACGCTCTATAGTCTATACTCAGAACACGTCCATACGCAACCAGGTAGGCACTGCCGGCATCACTCCACTCATGACTTTAATTGTCCGTCCATGCTATACTTTTTTTCCTAGAGCCAACCCCTCCCTCCCATACGCTCAATACCACCCCTCGCGGGTGTCAGTCAGGCCCGCGTTCCCAGCGACGACTAGTCCTGCCAATACCTTTCGTCAAAATGCACAGAACTACACCGATCTGTTATTCTCGTCCAGTCCATCGGCAAACAAATCACCCCTCTGTTTGATTCTTCCTCCGATGCGATGGTTGGCTTACCGGCCGCGCCCCCCATGAAATTCCACCACAGCGCGCAAGCATGGTGTCCCCAATGCCATAGCCGCACCTCGCCCCCTCTATGTGCGGCACCTGTCTTTTCAAGTCAGCAAGCTAAACTGGACGCATCCGTCGAGTTCCCTGTGAGAGCAAGCGAAGAATAAGTTCCAGATATGCTACAGCACGTTGAATCATGTTCTCGAACGCCGCATGCGCCGCGTGGATCGAAACGATCGTTGCGGCCCGCTTCCTGATCCCGGCTGAGAAGTGCCCGAGATAGCCGCGCCGGGGGTGGCTTGAGCTCGGCTGGAGAGGGGGGTGCTTATGGGTAGGTAGTGGGGCAGTCCGTCGCTGGGCCGGGCAATGGCACAATAAGCGCTAACGAGGAGCACTAATGATAGATGAAAACCAGCAAGGTCTAACACGGGTACTATGTACAGTGCTACGTACGTTGATGACCATTCGCTAATGCGTCTACTGAGTCTAAATTGGATACCACAGACAAAGAGACATGGGTATGAGTACAACCACCTTTCATCGTGTGGTACATGACCGCCAATGATAATCCGCCAGAGCAGCAGTCCAATTTCCTACAATCAACGAAGAAAACTCCCCAGGGTCCCGCCCTATCCATCTCAATTCCCAACCGCCAACTCATGCACAATCGCCGCCACCTCCTCCGACTTCGTGAAAGTCGGACAATGACCGGTCTCCACCTCAAACGTCCTCACCGGACGCCCCGTCTCCCGCTCCATCACCTCCACAAGATCCTTCTGATACTGAAGCGGCACATTCATATCCAACGTCGCTTGGATGTACGCCACCCGCGGGACCTCGCGCCACGCACAGCGCTGCACCTTCTCATACCAGGCCCCACCATTATGGGGCCGGAATGCCGCGACATAGGCCTCGAGCTCCTCGTCGGACCGCCCCGGCCCCACGATCAGACCCTTAGGATCCCGACTGACGGTCGTCTTGTCCTCTGCGAAGTCGAAAGCGAGCGGCATGTATTCGCCGTGGCCGTGCGCCTCGACGACATCAATCATCGATGTGCCCTCGGTCACAGCGAAGGCGGCAATGTATACGAGCTGGCTCACGCCCCCGGAAAGACCCTGGGCCTCGCGCTGGGCGGTCGAGAGGCCCGTGAGTGCGTTGGTGCCCACCTGCCCGCCGTAGGAGTGCATGAGCACGATGACCTCGCGGCCGGCCTCGACCAGGCTCTCGACGTAGGTGCGGATCAGGTCAGTGTCGTCCTCGAGGTGAGCGTTGGGCGGGCGCACGCCGTTCATGGTCAGCAGGCGCGGCACGTGGACCTCGTGGCCGCGCTTGCGGAGAGCGGTCGTGAAGTCGGATTAGTGGGAGGGCGAGTGCCATGCGCCGTGGACTATGACGATTGCCTGGGGCTTGGTGGTGGGATTGGTGGCCATGATTGTGTCGCGTGGGTGGGAGATCGATAGATGGTGGTAGATTGACGAGGAAGTGGCGGGGTCGTGCAGGTCGCTTCTTATTTATTTTGTAGCCTGGTGGAGCTTTGGGAAGAAAACAGTAGATTCGTAGTTCAGCTCAGTGGAGATACCGTAAGCACTAAATAAGAAGGCTCGTAGGCTAGTTACATGCACTAAGATTAGTGCTAGCTGGGCCGTTGTCCCCGGCGCTCGCAGCGTTGATCTTTTAGTCTGGCAGATCTCAATATCAGATGAGACCGACAGACCAAACCATGGTATGTACAGTACAGTGCACGGTGAGTTCCGTTGACTCCCCCTCCCCTCAGCTGCCACGAGTCATACGAGTGTTGAATCGAAATCTCGGTTGCATATACTATATATCATTCCACTTCATATTGGCACTCTGCTAGGCTAAGAAAAGGAGCTTCTGTGATTAACTAGCAGTCGACTTGGTAACTTCGGATATGTGAGTGATTCACCTATCCTGATATCCCGTGGTGGCATCTTCAGCATCGCCCCGGACGATATGTCTCCCCTCCCACAGCTGACGTATTCCTCCTAGTCTCCCTCTTAATCCGCCGATGGTCCACTCGAAGCCCGCGCTGCGAGGCACAGAGCTACACTTCCAAGATAGATAGATTGGTATCTCTATCACCAGAACCCAAAGCTCTCATATATAGTGACAACATATACAACAAGTTCATCCACGGTAAGTTAAATGTCCAACAACAGGATCCCTTCAACAGCTTCTTCGCTGGGTGATTACATCTGCTCACAGGGGTCGGTTGGGGCTTGTTTCCTTGGCTTGGAGGCATAGTCTTGATCCTCTTCGTCATCTGGATCCTCATCGTCGTCTGGCAAGTAGTCCGGATCCGATGAATCGCTCGAGGCTTCCGAGCTCGAGCTCGATCTCCTCGAGGGAACTGGTGTACCGGGACGGCCTTTGCACGACCTGTACAACTCAAAACGGACTCCCACCGCGGTGTCTGGGTCGGACTCCTCGCCTGTTGAAGTATCCGGGTTAGCACAGGCCCCACTGGGGGTATCAGAGTCCGAATCCGACCAACTTCGCATCGAGATATCTGAATCAGACAATCGCCGCTCATGTGCACCCCGATCCGGCTGCCCCCCTACCAAGGCATCCAGGTCAGCACAGTCCCGAATTGAGGTATCGGGGTCCGAATCGGACCAACTTCTCATCGAGTTATCCGAATCAGACTCTGAGTCGGACCAGCCCCCCATCGAGATATCAGGGTCCTCGTCATCAGAGACGCCTCCCATGGTTATATCATCGTCAGGCTCAGGGTTCTCCAACGGAGGCGCGTTCGTCATCTCTGTATCCTCGGGTTCCGGGGCCTTACTGCTGTCAAACCCCCAGCGCCACAGCACCCTGGCCGAGTTGTCTTCGAAGTCGTATGGGTCGAGGAGCGGGCGATACCAGTTGACTTTCTTCTTATTCTTGCCGTTCTTGCCATTGCCGTTGTTTTTATTGTCGTTGTTATTGTTGTTATTGTTGTTATTCCAGTTGTTCCCCTTGTTGGAGAAGCCACCGCCTTTTCCACCGCGGTTGTTGTTGTTGTTGTTATTTCTGTTACTGTTGTCATTGTTGTTAAACCCACCTCTTCCCCGATTATTTTTTCCGCCGTTGTTGTTTCTGTTGTTGTTGTTGTTGTTGAATCCACCTCTGCCACCCTGATTGTTGAAACCGCCCCCTCTTCCTCCACCGCGGTTATTTTGATCATTGAAACCACCTCTACCACCTCTGCCACCACCGCCGCCGCCTCTATTCCCACCTCTCATCAGAGCGGCCGTTGATAGATGCCACTTAACTCCCTAGTGGCGAAGATTATCGTTTCTTTTGTTCTGTGTATGGTGTCCGTTGTCGAAACTATTTCTCGAATTGAAGACATTGATATGAAGCAACCCTGCTGCTTGTGTCGTCCCTAAGAAAAAAAAGTATATATAAAGTGGTAGCCAGACCAGCCGGGGGCGCGCGCGGAGGGGTGCCATTTCAGGGGGGGGGATGTTTCTTATACCTTGGAAAGCGAGCATTGCACCCTTATGGCTGTATGCCACCGTTACTGGGAATCTCAAGCTAGGCAACAAATCTGCTTGTTGGGTTGCGTTCAAGCTCACTGTTATATGTACAATGGTCTCCTTGTCATGAGTTGAGACAAAGAGGCTTGAAGGGGATGTCAAAGACGTGGGGGATAAAGGCCTCGGATAATGCCATTGTTAGGTGGTTCTTGGGGTGGGGATTTTGGGTGCGTGGCCTCCGTAGCGAGTGGCAGTGTCCTTTCTGGTGGCTGTGGCGTCTGGTAGATGTCTCTGTGTGGTGGGCGTGGGAGTAGGCTCTGCAGGTGTTATTTACTGTGTGCGTTATTCTTCGTGGGTTTTTGTCTGTGCTTCTCTACGGGGGAGGGGGGGGTCGGGGCTGGGGATATAGGGCTACCGCTACAGCCGTTCCGTTGCTGTTGTTGCTGGGTCTAGGATCGATATGGTATGATGGTTATTGTGCTCGGCCTACCGATAGAGTCATACTGGAGATGAAGGCCTTGATGGATGGTACGGTGTATATATGCTATAGCAATTCATTGGGTGGATCAGAGGCACGTGCTTGCGATATGAGGTTGCTCTGGCTGGATAGATTTGTCGCCGGAACGAGTGGCTCGTGACCAAAGACAGTGAGGGGGGTGGCACCTACCATTATTCGAAGTACCGAGAAGATGGCTACTCTATCCTATCTGGGCAGGACGTTCCTGCTCGAGGTTGAGGGAGAGCGCCGCGGGGGTGAAAGCACAAGCGCAACAAAGGTATTTTTCCACCAAGCCCTACCTTGGCACTGTTGTATATCCCGCTACCCGCAGACAGTCAGTACCGACATGTTGCTCGATCCCCAAGTCCAGTAACTGGATACTGCCCAGATGAAGGCGCCTTTTTTGCCATCCATCGCAGAGAGCTGCTGAGTGACTGGGAGTCCCACCATTATTTTTTTGTAGGCATCATACATACCGCAATCCTAACAGCATCCGCTACGAGGATCTCAGTCAACTCTGGCAGTTAAACAACCAGGATGCATATTCAGTCCTCATAACGGCACACTCTCACACCCTTCCAACAATTCAGCCCGGGTGGTCTAGTGGTATGATTCTCGCTTAGGGATTCCAAACCCAAGCATATCTGCGAGAGGTCCCGCGTTCGATCCGCGGCTCGGGCCGATTATCTTTTTGCTTTTGCCCGATCGTCGCTTCTTGGTCACCCGAAGGAGAACATCGTAGGCGTGCAATGGTGTTGTGTTGTCTGTTCTTCGTGGTCCTCAAAGGGCCGGGCTGTGGTGACACCAGGCGTGGTTCGTTCATTCTTTCTGTCCGTCCCCGATCCCGGCTTCCGCGGCCTGCGCAGCTTTATGGACTTAGTCCAAGTCAAAACTATATGGCCTATCCGCAGGCACAATTCCACGAGAGAGTAAAACATGCAAGAGACGAGAATGGATCTTATTGTCTACACCCGAGTACAGTTCGCACGAAAATAACAACACGGTGCTATGGATTGTGCATATACTCTTTTGTTGTTGGCTAATGTAGCAATCTCCCTAACGGGTACTTACGCCTCCCATGCGCGCCAATCAGTCCCAAATGATGGAGGAAAACGGTGCCATAAACCTCAATTCTACAACACGTCATCTATAATGATGTGACCCGGGGACCACATGCAATTCCGCAGCGTGGCGCTATGCGCTTGAATCAAGTCTATGTACTGTACAGTACCTGTATGCTTTGGATATACTCAGTAGATGCACCAGGATTCGGCTAGATCCGAGCCAGCCCTACTGCGATCCGGATCGGCGGTAGAACACAGAACCTCATGCATAATGACATAGCATTTCACGTGGTGATAAGACCATAGATCCTAGCATTTTTCAACCAACCGGGTCCCATAGCTCAGTTGGTTAGAGCGTAACGCTAATAACGTTAAAGTCGAGGGTTCGAGCCCCTCTGGGACCATTTTTCTTGCATCATCCTTTTTTGCTTTGCCCGTTTGTTTCCCCTATAAACCCACACCTCTAAATCCGCATTCAGCGTGGAGTGACAGAGGGCGACGACAGAGTCCAGCGTGACTGCCTATTGAGGAGTAGTTGCCGCGGGTCCGGTGGCCGGCTCATAGTAAAGTAGTCTTGCTGATGCTTCCCTCGGACAGCACTGCTAAGCAATAGACTGCCTCTACCTCAGCTTCTGGGACCAGAAGGGTTTGTGAGGCAGGTTAGCGGTATCCGAAACAAATAAAGAAGATTATAACAAGAGTTTCCTGTGCGCTGTTGAGAGGAGTATGCCAGAACATAAGCCCTTCAGGCGAGGGATGGCATGTCATCTCTAAAGCAATGTGATGTTGAGATATAAACCGCCTTGTTCATATGAGATCAAGAAAGACCGGAAGAAGGAAGATTCTCTGTTTGATATACTACCAAGGAATATCCCGAGAAATTAGACCAGGGATTCATTATGTACACCCCAAAGCAAATATTGTGCTCATCCTGCAGGATGGCCCTGACATTTTAACATATAGCTAGCTTGCCCTCCCCCCCGGGCTTTTTTTTCTCTTTCAAACCCATCCTGCTGTCAACGGTCGTAGTTGACATGCCTCCAAACTCCTTTGCCCCTGCGATAAGAAAGCTGCGTAACCTCTTCATGAGGACTAGTTACGTATGCTTCACGCCCTCCGCGCCTGCAGCTCTAGCCTGCTTGCGCCGGGACCGTGCGTCGATGGAGAGTACGCGAGTCTCGCTTTCAGCCACAGAATACAGGAGAACACAGGTTGCCATAGAGCGCAGTACATAGCCACCGTTGCCACCGATAAGAATCAAGATCATGAAACCTGTAGTGGTAGTGGCATACTGATACATCCCATCAGCATCGAAGTGGCCTAGTCAGTCGACCGGGTCTTTGTGGCTGTTGCGTCGCATTGATCCTTGCAAACTTCGAACCTCAATACGGTACAGCTCGTGGAGATACTCCGTTGTCGTATGTGTGTTCTGGCAGCAGTGGCAGTGGCAGAACCGACGATGCATGGAATAACGCTCGAAGAGGTCATCGGTAGTATATAGTCCGATGGTGTCAAGTAAGATCAACACCAAATGAGCGTGCTGCTGCAATAGCTCAAGAGATTCTGGCTGGGACAAAGCCTGCCATCGACCTAGTAATCAACACATTATTAAGCACCCTCCCAGTTGGAAAATTCATGTCCGCGGAAGATATCAAGGTGACGTATATCTTGTTTTGATATGGTGAGATAAATACACAGGAAAGATACATGCTTTCATAGCAGCCAGCTGGTATGGGAACGCATCGTGTTCCTGACGTTGGGGTAGATGGCTCTCTTTGCAGGCCCAGATCACTAGGTCCTGACCTCGATACACCGAGAAAATCTTATAGCCGTTTGTAGCCAGCGCCAGTTTGTAACTGATCTCGGGCGCTCGACGGAGAAGCGCTGATGCCTGGTCACCGCATAGTCTATTGAGCATATCTGAGTTACGAATGCTCCCTGGAAGCCTGCCCAAAGGCTTGCCGTCGATGAAGAAATGGCCTTTGCTTAGAGAAGCTCCCATGTCTCAAGTTGCACTATCCTGTTCATAACTACGTATCGAAGGTAGAATATGCATCTAAGAGACCGCCCTGTTCGATGAGACGAAACTGGAACTTCCGATAAGCTTCAACAAGCTGAAGAGACAAACTTGCCGTCGTGGTCTCAGCGCTCAGTAGCATAAGCGAGACGGTGCGCTCTTGCAATCTTAGAAGGCCGTTCTTAAAGATGAACGATATCTAGTACGATATCTAATCCGCGACGAGTAGACGTGTTCCAAGAACTTCTTGTACTCTGCTCTCGTTCCAGGTGCCCGAGCAATCATACCGGAAGCGGCGCTAATCTCGTAGATATGTTTCACTCTGGCCAATATCGACGTCGAATGGTATAACGACCGGTCGCAAAACGGTAAGTGTTTGAAACCTCTTCCAAATCGGCTTGACTGTTGGCTGGTTCATGTGCTGCTGTATCGGTGTTGTCAGTTCCTTGTTCCACTTGGCCAGCTGTTGGAATCTTCACCTTTAAGGATTATGCTCCCGCATTGGCGCAAGTCCGGATATTCTGGCAACAACATTGGGCTTGAGAGTCTTGAATGGTAGCGAGAAAGTCGATTTCGAACAAGCCGGTGCCTATTTTGTAGACTATGGTTTCCCATGGAAACCGGCTTTTTCCCGTGAGGATGTTACTCTCACTCTGGCGTAAGCCTGGATATTCTCAGTAAGATATCCACAGCGTTCAACTCGAGAGTCCTCCATGGCAGTACCGGTCACTTCCCGTCATAACAAGTGAAGGCAGGAAACTGTCTTCTCACAGAGTTACAATGACGACACTACTTTCCCCTACTATTTCGTCCTCTACATCCATATCGCCCCCTTCGGAACTCCAGCACATGACACGATTCTCCGTCTCAGAGACCATCAGAGTCGCCGATGGAATCTCATAATAAGATCACATGTGGAATACAGGTTAGACTGCATCGTGAGAAAAGTAGTGGGGAGGAAGAAAGAGAAAAGAAAGGAGGGAGGGGGTAGGGAGAGAGTGGGGGAGAATGGGGAATAACACATTCACTATCCTGGCCTCCAGGCAACGATCTGGAAAGCTGTTTCATTCACTAATCGTCCCAAAGTTTCCGGTCAGTTGGATATCCACACTGGAGCAAACGGTTCCCTGCCTGATTATGATTAGTCTGTAAACGACGAGCTGGAGGCTTGAGTAGCAGACCGCGAGTAGGAACTGTGAGCTTGTACCTATCGTCTTTTCCTACAACCTTGAACACCACCGCACTCAGTAGCAATGATTACCAGGTTCCCCAAAAGCACACTTAGCAAGAGATAGCACCTGCGCCGGGCCCTGGTATCGTGAACATGGTAACACCCTGACTCAAATCATCCGCACAGAAATGAACATTTGCAATTGCACCCTTGATGACTGCCGGTGCTGATTCATACAAGATCACCATGATATCTCCAGGTCCCGTCAGAATTGGTACCATCAGGCCCTGCTGGACCTGCGAAGCGCGTTCTGGAGATACATCTGGACAGCAGAAGTTGCACACAGGACAGGCCTGTATACTTCCAGCATAGTGGTCGCCCTTGTCTATTGGTTTCTACGTCGAATGTATCAATCCCTACCATAATGATAGTCGAACAAGATGATACCTTTCGTAAGATACCAGATTTGAGCTGCTAGTAGAGTAAGAAGTACGCAGCACTGTCTGTCCTCTAGCTACTAGCAACTCTTGTGACAGTCTTCGACTAGGACTCACAACCTCAGCTCCGCAAGAGGAAAGCCTAGTGCGTATCTGGCACAGGATAAGACCGGGATCCCAACAGAGGAAAATTTGATCTGGGTCTTGCATGGAGGCCATTCAGCGCGATCAGAAGTATTGGTCTGGGCGTGACGCCGTTATTCCAAAGCATGGGCAGGCCAACTCAAATGATCCCCTGTGATCTCCAGTGGGCGGCGTGTCTTTGAGCATGACCCGCGCGACTGCATTGGGTGGTCTTTCGTGCTCTCCAGGCTTCGATATCAAGATTGCCCTCTCTCTGAACCTTCGAGGGCTCGAGTTCCACGACCAGTATGTCCGAGTGAGACCCACCTTTATGCTTTGTGTTGAGAAATGCCAAAAACTGCTTTCGAGTGTAGTGCATGCTTAACTATCTTTCAGATCGACAGCTTCAGCCTTTCCAAGTCTCTTGCTGCCCTGTCGATATCAAGCCCGTTGCGCTGAAAAGCATAATACCCCAGGTAGTACGTACTCACCTGGGGCTGACAGTACCAGCACCAGTCTCCCCTGGCCTCGAAGGGGCGGTATCAAGCATGGGTCAGGTCTCCACTCGTCGTAGATGAGCGGCGCAGAGTCGCTCACTGGCGTCCTTGCGCACAGTTACATGGACGGGAACCAGATTTGGAAAAGAGGTAGAACGCCGAGAATCAGGGATCGGAATTATCTTCCTAGGGTTTGGATATAAATCCACCGGCTACCAGAAGGCAATGATGGGATCGACGACAGAATACTGTAGTAACTTATTCATTAGATCTAGAAGATAAGATAAGGCTTACTGCACTAGTAGGTAGTATGTTTAGAAGACCTCCGATTAAGACCACAATAGGTACTCGACTACGATACTACTACCAATTACGTCCAACGTCCAGATTCATAGCTGTCAGCACAGTTATAATCAAATGATCCCAGACTGCATATACAAGTACCTAGGTTTTGAGCTCGAGGACTTGTTTCTTGAATCGCGTGTTAGAATCAAGCGTCTGTATAAAGTAGTTCAGGAAAACGGCGAGACTCTGTCCGCATGGATGATCCCGATCTGTAGCTGGCTTGGAATTGTCACATGTCCTAAATATATGCTCATGTCTTCAAAGCGGCCAAAAATTAGGCAAAGAAGACAGAAAATTCGTCATTGAGCAGAACTCGTTGTATTTCATACTTCTTCCCAAGAAGGTCGCAGTGTTGAGCGCTTGCTGTCTCCGGTTTCTTTTCAACAATTTTATCGTGTCCGGAGGCTGCGAGGGTCTGGATTCCAGGCTAAGATGGATTGGGTAAGGTCTCACAAGATGATGCGTCGCGGCGTTCGGCCGTTCGTGGGAACTTGACATCCTGTCCGTGAGACATGCAAGAGACCTAAGACTGTGGCAAGAATAGGCTCAGAGGTGTCGATTGATGAATAGAGGCTGTGCGAACCACCTGAGCCATCTAGGCAGACAAAGAAGTTGATCATATTCACATAGTAGGGCTCTCAGGGTCTCAAGCTCAAACAATAATGACAACTAACGGGTGAGGCATTGACTTAAGTAACAAAGGTGGAAGACCATCTGATGCTCTGTGGCACGGTAAGTCGATCCACTACTTACCCACCCGCCTTTGTGGCAGTGCCTTTTTCCAGCAGTCCCGAAACACTACTCCATAAAAGACCATAATTACCGATGGAAGAATTGTGGCCAGTTCCACGAATGGATTACTGAGCAATACGCCATGCTGACGGTGTGTAATTTATCGCTGGAGATCCACGGGATTTTCTTACCTAGCACTACCTAGGTGGCCACTTCAGTCCTGGGTACTCCTATTGAACGAGTCCTCGAAGAGGCCAAGACAAGAACCACTGGGTTAACATGCAAGGCTCGAATATGCTTGGCAGGACTTCGATTTCTCTCTCCCTCTTTCCCTCGTGGACAGCAGGCAAGAAAGCCTAGAAGAAGCAAAGAATAGAAGTCAAATAGGGAAAACTGACCAGTCATGATCGTCATGGTTAAGACATGCAGGACTCCAGGCTCAGAACTGAACACTGTTGCTAAATTTGGTTCGGTCTCCAAGTGGGATCAACTGATTGGAGAGTCGGAGACTCGGAGACAGTCCCGGAACGTCGGTTACGCGGGGGGAGAAATTCTACTGGTACCGAGTAGGTAGAAAGGAGTGAGGCGTGGCCAGGGCAAGGAAACAATAATCACGTTCAAAATAATCAATATGATCAATATTAATTGGAATCATTGCTTCAGATTGTATATAGTCCCATGTCATCAAATGAAGGAAAGATGTGGTCAGTGTGTGTGTGTGTGTGTGCTGCTGCTGCACTGCAGCCTCTCCGAGTGATCCACGGCGATCCATCGGCTGGTGTGGATTGTGGAATGATAGACAGGCAGGCAGGGGCAGGGGAGGGGGTGACGCTCATTACTGGAAGAGATGCGGGAGCTAAAAAAGAGCGGGTTGAAGTACATGCAATTGATGACGCCAGCCCCCCCCGTACTTAGTATACTCCTCTGTAATTTCATTCTTATTGATTTCCATCTATTGTCCCCCAGGCAATAGTCTGGTCTCCTCTCCATGTAGATAGGTACCATACTCCCGTACTTGAACATACCAACTTACCAAGTATCCTGATCAACTAGACTACTCCGTCGTATCGGGGGATTTAATTATCCAACATCTATCTCCCTTTCGTATTGAAGAGCCCCCGCTTGACGGGGTTGTCTCAGACAAAGACTGCCTGGCCAGTCAGCTGTTACACACTTAAGGTCGAACACTAACTAAAACACTTTTTACACTTACACTTGCACTTACACTGAACACTCAGTGAACAAATCTCCAGACCCACTGGGCAAAGTATCATCTGCGTCTGCCCCCCCCCCCCCCCCCCCCTCCTCCCCCCTAAAAAAAAAAAAAAAAAAAAAAAAACTCCCCCCCCCCCCCCCCCCCCCCCCCCCCTCTTGTACCTCCTCTCTCTCTTTCCCGCGCTCTCTCCCTCTCTTTCTGGTCTTCATCTTTCACTTTTCTTTTTCATCAACTACCCTACCTTCTGTTCTCCATTCGCTTTGCGACCTCTCTGTTCACCTTATCTCTCTTCTCCCTCCTCCACCTCCACCTCCACCACCACCTCCTCCTTTCCGCTCGCTCCGTTCGCATTCCCTCCGTTCCGCTCACAAACATCAAACTCAAACAAACTACATCCCGCGCGATCCCTTCTTCTGCCCGATCCGCTGACTCGCCGGACGCAATTTGGACGTCAAGTGGCCTCGTCACAGGCGCTTGTGCGCTGACTACGCATCTCCTCGCTATCACTTGCCTCTCCGCTCTTTTCGCCTCCAACATTCACGACCGGTACCTTATGGAACCAGACTTCCGCCGTTCCTAGTCTTGGCAGGCCCTGACACACCTCGTCGCTGTCTCTCGCTACGAAGGAGCTGGTCTCAATTGGCATTTCGCCTCCCCGATACTTTTCATTTCTCGTTTCCACCTTCGTTCCATCGCATCGCCAGTGGGCTTCATCATTCGCGCGAGCTGCTGCGTCTGCCGGGTCGCAGCCACATTATACCGTGGGCCTGAAACTGGTCTCTCCCTCAACTTATTGTTACTATTCTAGTTTCGATTCTGGACATCATGGGTCGCTCGCGAGGTAGGGAATTCGTTCTCACTTGCTTTGGAAAGCGCTATACTGACACCAGATTCTCTCCCCAGTGTTATCGTTGATGTCGGTTTTCGGCGGCTCCTCTCGCAAAGATAACCCCAGCCAACACCATCGGACCGCGTCGGCTTCAGTCACTTTGAATCACCCCCCGTTTAGGAATGATCCCCCGACGCCAGATACCGCTTCACCTGTTGATGCGTCGCCGATTAGTGGGACATCCAACGCGGAACGACGAATCTCGTCACGACCCGATTCGACCTATTTTTCGCACAATCCCCCTCTGGTGGAGTTTTCGCAAGACACACCGCCAGAACTTCAGCCTATTTTCGGCCATCTCAACAGCCATGCCAACAAACTATATCACGAAGGTTACTTCTTGAAGTTGAATGACTTGGATACTCGTATGTGTCTCGCTGCAGCTCATTAAGGTTTGAGTTGGGACTAATCGATGGGAATTGCAGACGGCCGGCCGTGTTCCGACCGACAATGGGTCGAATGTTATGCGCAACTCGTCGGGACTGCTCTCTCTCTTTGGGATGCTGCAGCGCTGGACGAGGCGGGAGACGAAGGTGACGTTCGCCCAACATTCATCAACTTGGCGGATGCTTCGATCAAGATGGTAAGATCTGCATAAACCCCCTCTTGGCGTTCCGGACCGGCACTAGTCTAGCCCCGATACTGACTGGCATTCACTCATCAAGCTCGAAACACTACCAACTCGAAACCAGGAGGTACAGTCATTGAAGAACATACTGAGCATATGCTCCGCGGGCCAGAATCGATACCTCCTCCACTTCAATTCTTTCCATTCTTTGACGCAATGGACTGCAGCCATACGCTTGACTTTGTTCGAGCACACCTCCTTGTATGAGGCGTATACTGGCTCGATCATTGCTGGCAAAGGAAAGAGCCTGAACAATGTCAAACATATCCTCGAGCGCAACCGATTCAAACATGAAGACTGGGCTCGTGTGAGATTTGGCGCGGGAACGCCATGGAAGCGATGTTGGTTCGTCATTACTCCCCCAAATGAGAAGGAGTTCCAAAAAGCGCAGAAGTCGATCAAGAAGTCGGCATACGACCGCGCCCCTCGACTAGTCACAGGCCACATCAAGTTTTACGAAACGAAGAAAACCAAGAAAGCGACGCCGATTGCCACAATCACCGACGCATACGCTGCTTACGCGATATACCCACAGTCGAAGCCGTTGATTGACCAGTCGACTTTGGTCAAAATAGAAGGGAGAATCACAGTCCATTCACAACCGGAGTCCACCTCCGAAGGGTTCGTCTTCGTCATGCCTGAAGTCCACCCAGCTGTTTCGGGCTTCGAAATGATGCTCCGCTTTCTGATACCAACCTTTGACACGTTCAACCTCTATGGAAGGCCGACTCGGCTGCTCGCCGCCACCAATCACATTAAAAGTATCATGTTCGCATTTCCTAACCGGCGACGTTATGGTTACTTGGATATCCTAGATATCTCCAGTCTCATGCAGACACCTGGAAGCCAGAATTGGAGCGAAGCGGAATGGAGGAGGCAGCTCAAGGAGGCTACTTCACGACGCATGGCGACAGCTGGAAGCCGGACTAGTAGCGTTTCTGGAAGCAAGCCACGCTTTCGGTCCAGTCTTCCAAGCCGTCAAGGCGGCAATGTTCGCGCTGGACCCAATCAGCGCAATATGACTCCCCCCGAGAATCGACCAGGCTACAACCAGTCTACTGATGCTATCGTTCGCGCGGGGCCTGAAAGTGATCCCATCTCCCCAGTACATCACGCGCGTGGTGCTTCTGATTTCGCTGGGCTTGCCTCTCAGGCCCAGGTTCCTGTTTCTCTTAGCGACAGCTCCCCGCCATCATCATCTCACGAGCTTCCGCCAAACGGAGAACGAGCCCGCGATAGTGACCGTAGCAGTGTGGAGGGTGAGCCAAACCCTCATGCAGATCCTGCGGCCGAAGCTGTTGGTCAACAGTTCCGCCCTGTGTCGCCTCCTTCGCCGGTGGCCCAACCGCCTGCTTTCACTCACGGACCGGGAGAGGTTCCCCCTACCCGGCCTAGGCCGTCGTCCGACTTAAGGAAAGTCAACAACAGAATGTCGGACGCCACTCTTACACAGCTTGTGGCGGCTTCCGGGGGTTTAAGTCGTCTTGGTCCTGATGTGCCGGCAGAAAACCGAGCGACGACGACAGACTCGAACGAGCCCAGTCCAATAACCCCAAGCAATGAATCTATCGAGCACTATGCAGACTGGGTGAACCCGGAGGCAATTAGGAGCAGCGATCCACAACCTGCCCCGCCTATTGGCTCTCGTTCTGGTTCCTTCGGGCCACCACTGGCTATACCTAAGGCACGTGGTCTGCGCCTGGATACTACAAAGGCTGTCAAGAGGAAGCCCGTACCTCAGCAGTACGCTGGGGAGCCAGATTCTTCGAGTATGACGGGGGAGCCCAGCTTTGATGATCTTCGCCACACTGTTAATGAAGAGGCCCTCAACTGGGTTGGTAGCCGCCAGCTATCATTCACATCGCGAGAGCCTGGGAACCGCCAAGATGAGGGAAGCATTTACGACGATGAGTCAGCTGCATCCCCTGATTATGCTAGTACAAAAGGGTCTGTCTACAGCAAGCGCTCGGTCAAGTCGATCCCTCGACCTAGGATGGGAGTCATGAAGACGGTAGGCACGGTGCCTGACAAGAAGGATTATGTCATTGGCGACGCGCATTACGCTCTTGAACAGTCGGCAGAGCCCAATCCCGACATTCCCACTATCGACTTTGGCCCGACAATGACTTTGATGCCTACCACCGCACGTCCTAGTACCTCGGAGACCTATAAAAAAATGGGTCACGAGAGGAGCGATTCAAATGTAACAGAAAAACAAGCTCCCCCGCACCACATGGAGCGCTCGCATTCTCGGTCACCCAGCATGATGTGGCAGCCGGGCATGGCTGCTCCGCGACCAACCACTCCTGGCCGACTCACACCAGAGCAATTTGTGCAACAACGGTCAGCTCCCAGCCCGCCTGCTCATGTCCACCACCGAACTCTATCTTCATCAGCAACGGCGAAATTAGCACCAGCTCTCCCTCGGCCCCTTTCTGGAGAATGGACGAGCGGATCCAGGCAACAAACGCACCCGTCTGGCCACAAAGAGGGCCCGGCGCGTCCTCACTCTCGTGGCGCTAGTACTGTCATGAACTACAACGAACTCTCGTCGCATTTGTCGGCCCGCGAGCAGGAGCATATCTCTCGTATGACTGGCGCTCCGCTGCTTGATTTCTCCGGCGGGCACAAGCCTCAAGTGACTCCTGTTAATCCCATGGGTCTGGTTGGGGCCATTGATGCTCGAGAGCGCGAGAAGAAGAGCATCCGCGAAGGGGTTTCCAACCAGATGGTGCAGCACGCCATCGCACAGCGTCAGCAACACTGGCAACAACAGCAGCAGCAGCCAATGCCCGCACAGCCCCAGACTCAGCCATATAGCCAAGATAACCACTACAGCGTGTATAACCTTCCTGCAGCCAGCCGGACCTGGGACGCTCTCAACCAGCCTTACTATCCAGAAGAGCCGCGGCGCCAGTCGTGGTACGGGCAATACTTCGCAGCGCAAAAGTCACGGACGCCCCCAGCGCATCATCACACTCAATCTCTCGGCCAGCCGGCTGCTTATTTCAGTAATGCCAACGCCAGCCATTACTAGGGGAACATTTGCGCGCGGATTGGGCGTTGCTTTGTGCCGACTCGCCATCTTGTACTCATTTCGCTCGCTTCGTTCTCGCTTGAGATCTGATACTTCCGATATCTAGTCGCTATCTCTTTTGCTTTATCTGTTTTTGTGTTGTTTTTGTTTTGTTTTCCTTTCTGAAGGTCTCGATGCATCTTAGAGAGCTAGAACTCGAAGACTCTGGTTGGTCGATTGCTGTTTTGCTTTTGTTTTTGGGTTGGTAGCGTTTCGTTCTCAGCATCAGTCGGCGTTATTATCTTGGGGATTATGTTCTTTTTCCCCGACGTTGCTGGCGTTCAACTCACGCAGCTTTGTTTTCTAGAAGGTATTTTGATATCCCATGAGGGCAGGAGCTTTTTCCCCCGTCTTGCGAGTTGCTCCACGGTCAACAATCGGATAAACCCATTGCTCTGCGGTGCACTTCATCAGATGCTTTCTGTACGACGTATGACAGATGTAGGCTTTGGAGCCGAAGTAATCGTGCTCGAAGGGTTGATGTGCTGGTCACGTTGCGGGAAATCCTTACATCTCTCTCTTCTACGAAGCCGCTTCATCACTAGGCATTTACCCTACACATTCCTGGGTACCCTGAAGTCGCCCACTTGCTATCGGTAGGTAGTCCTTAATTCTGCTTGGTCTTCGAGCTCATTCATTCGCAGAAAGTAAAAAACGAATCCAGCCACCACCTCCACCCTTCTCTCTCTTGGAAGTACAGGAACGTGGTAGCCGTAGCCCGAAGTTATACTCAACCACCATCCTTCCATATGAGAAGCAGATGTGGGAGCAGCGGAGTGGGGAGATAAAGCTAGGAACTTCTCGAAAGGCACAGAAGAAAGTATAAAATGTCAATTCCAGGAAGGCAACCAGCTGGCGCAAGCACAGTTGCAAATTGCAGGAGGAGGTTACGGAGTTTACTCTAATCTGTTGTGAGTGTCAATCAATTCCAACCCTCCGGCCCCCCCCTGACTTGATTACTCTGTATGCAAGTGCTATGGCGAAAGGAATGCAGAGGCAGTCGGCATGATCTATTGGTCGCCATCATATCACGGTATAGAGACTATACAAAACGCTCAACTAAATTAGTCTATCTAACGACATGATCCGAACTTGCCCTGAAGGGCTACTACTTCTGTTTCCTCGCCGCCAGGATCGGCTGCATCAGAAACTCGTCGTGGGCCAGCTCCTCCGCGGAGGGACGCTCCTCCGGCAACCACCGGAAGATGCGCCGGAGGAAATTCAGGAAGAGTGTCTTATCGGCGCCCTGGAAGTGCTGGATTCGTTGGTCCAGGGATTGGCGCGGGATGCGGATGGAGCCCTTCCAGTTTCCTGCATTACCGATAAGTTGGTATCAGCGAGTTCGAACCGTGTCGCAGGGGTAGTCTTGGGGGTAGATCATACCTCGTTCATCGAAGAGTCTGGCACACTTGCTACTGCTGCTACTACTACTACACCTCTGGACGAATTCCGGCGGGGGAGGCCCCATCAGCGAGACCAGCTCGGCGAGATGCTGCTCGTTGCACAGGACCCCGTGGGTTTTGCCGGAGAAGAGATGCTCGTCTTGCATAAAATCCCATGCCTATTCACTCGGATCGGATCAGCGGGGGGTGGGGGGTACAGGTAGATCGAGGGTACGGGATTCTTCGAGGGCTGGAAACCACAACTCACCATCACACCAATGGACCAGATATCCACCTTGCAGTCCCACTCCATCCCCATAATGACCTCAGGCGCGCGGTAGATCCCCGGCATGATATCGCCCTGGTATCTCTCGTGGCCGAACCGCGCCTCCCCGAGGTCCGAGAGAACCGGGAGCCCTTCGCAGGCGGGCATGGATCGGGAGCGGTAGATGGTCCGGTCGTCCAGGACTTTCCGGGCGATCGGCTGCGTCATCTCGTCCTCTTCGATGGCGGATAGTATGGCGCTGTCATCGATCTTTTGGAGGATGTTGTTGGGGGAGACGTCTGTTGTTTGGTTGGTGTTTTGCTGGTCAGCGAAGGGTCTCTCTTGATTCAGATGAGAGGATCAAGAAACTGAGGGGCGACAAGGCTGTTACCGGTGTGGACGGTCTGGTTCGCGTGGAGAAACGACAGCGCGATTAGGGTCAGCTGGAGACTCCGTTGCCCCAGCTCCGTGGGCAGGGTGCACCCATTCATGTACTTGGTCATGCTCATCCCGCAGGCCTTGTACACCAGGCACCGGTGCTTCCCGTGGGGTCCGGAGACCACGAAGGATTTCAGCACCAGCCGCACGAGCGCCTTTCCTGCATGGTCCGGGGCGTTTCGGAGGTGCTCGGAGACGGCGACCTCGTGCGCGGGATCGTGGCCCTGCGCGCATACCTTGAGGGTGCGGTATCCATGGGTCCTGAGGGGCTGAGTTCAGTTGCCTTCGTTCGTCTGTTCCGTGTGCGAAGCATTTCGCTGTGCGACTCTTTGGAAGTTGCATGTATCATGTCCTCCAACGGGGGGAAACGTACAGAAGATCTCGACAAAGCCAAACGGTCGACGAGGTGCCGTATCCGAGCTTGGCGACGACCTGGTATCGGGCCGCGAAGACCTCGCCGAGGTGGACAGGGTAGAAGTGTTTCGGTTCATAGTAGGGGAGCTGCTCTTCTTCCAGTGCCTCCGACGGATCAAGCTTCGCGAAGCCCGTTGTAGGGAATTGATGCGGAGGGAGCGGCGTGGTTGTCGTCTGGGTTCGAATGGGATAATAGCGCAACCCCGCGGAGGTTATTAAGGCATGGTGGCGGGGAGACGGTAGGATGCGCTCGAGTGGACGGATCAATAATCTGGGTTTGCGGCAGATCGTGAACATGGTCTCATGGAATCGTGGAACATCATAGCCTACAGTTAGAAGAAACAAAAAAGAAGGCCTCAAGGAATGGAATCGGTCGCGTGCGCCGAGAGGGGGAGGGAGTGTAATAGTAGCTAACTTAGTTGCTATAACGTCATAAGCGGTGGTGGCCGCACCCCCCGGGTTTGGTTCATCCATGCTTGCTGGGAGTCCAGATTCCAGGGCCCCGGCATTCGCCACTGGATCTCTGCCCTGTCTTACTGGATTACCGGATAGAAACAGATTATACCACAAAACACTCAATTGATTTCATCTTGAGAAATATGCTAATACAAACTTCCAATGGATATGATAGTATGTGTACGTACCATGGTGTATGGACCTAAAACGCCTGGACTGCCTGAGTGCCCTGCCTTGCTGATGCTCCTGCGCAGCTGTCTGTTTTCCCTTGATTTTTCGAGTACTTCTCTTATCTTGTTCTTTTTCTATTTTTTTTATTGTGTATGTCTCCCGTAGTCTGCTGAACATAGCAGCAGAGCACAACCTCAATGCGAATGAAGCTTCTTCATCTTGTTGACGCCCTCATACAGCCCACGATCAATGGCAGCGGCCACAGTCAGAGTACCACCGACGATCGCGCAGACTCCAGTCAAGAATCCGGTGAAGGTCTTAGGGCGAGCTTCGCGGTTGATGACCTTCATCGGGGAGATGTCATAGTTGAAGAAGACGCCGGGGATACCGTTGGCGGCATGGAGTCGCTCCTTGTGGCCTTCGTCGGAGGCGTCGCCGCCTCGCAGGGATCGCTTGTGGGAGGTCACCGAGTACTGGTGGGTCTCGATGCTTCCCTCGGCTCCGTAGGCAATTCCATGAGCTCCGAGAGGGGCCTTGTCATAGGCGCTGTGGATGGAGGACGAGAATAGCGGATCCCAGCCCAAGGGGAGGTACGAAGTCGAGACCACCTTGACAAAGTACATGAAATTGTAGCCAGGTTCGCTAGTCTCCTGTTTCGTGTTGTCCAAGGGGTTGGTGTGGTGGTGGTCGGTCCATTGCCAGCGATCGGACAGCTCGTCAGGCAGCTGAGGTCCGAATCGAAGCTGGTGAATCTCGTGGGTCATGGTGTGTTTCTCATTCTCGGCCAGGTTAGGCTCGAAGAACGTGGCGAGATCGTGCACATGGAGATTGCCACTGGTGAAACTGCGCCCGGGCGCGATGTGGAAGTTGCCGATCACCTTGTTGACGCGGAGGACACCCTCGAGGCGGCAGCCTTCCCGGCGCTGCGCATCAATGCGCTCCGCATACCCCTCAAGATCACACTGTTCAATGTTCTCTCCCTTGCCGAAGGCCCATTGCTTTTGGGCATAAGCTTCACGGACCTCTTCGCAGGTGTTGCAGCAGCCAGCCTTGATGGCACCGGCAGGTGCGGGTGCGCCACCACATTCGCCGCAGTAATCAGGGTCCAGGTGCTTAGCGGTCTCTTTCGAAGAATGACTAGATTGGAAGCGGCACGGTCAGCAGTGACCAGCAAGGAAGAACAAGGGGATTCCAAGCTTACAGCTCCAGAGCTTTCACATCAATCACGCGACCTCCTTCAGCCTCCGAAGTCAAGCGCACCTTGTTGATACCATGAGCCACGCCCGTCTGTTGCTCGCCTGACACATCCATAACGTCGAGGGTCAACATTTCGCAAGGTAGTCGGGGGAAGGTCATGTTCAGATGAATCTCCATCTTCTCGCCTGTTTCGCGCCAAAAGTTGTTCAGTCAGTCTTGCTTCGTTTTTCATGCAATCTCATGCAAAAGAGAAGAGTGTTTCTTCATACCTCTTGACTTATCGACCACCAACTCGGGCAGAACCACTACGCGCCTGTAGTCCACCCATTCTCCCCATACAAGCCAGAATATAACCAGCAACGATGCTATGGTGATAACTCCTCCAGACGTGGTTCGAACGCGCGCATCTTCGACCGTTTTGGCGAACGCATCTAACCTTGTAAATCGTGATTTGGCCGGCATCTCTCTAACAGATTGACGACCATGCGAAGAGGGTCGTCGTGTATGTGGAAGGGTGCGCGGTCTTCGCTATGGACCGGAGATCAGCTATTTAGTGCCCGCGATCAAGGCAGGGGCGGCGCCTGGTAAATAATGACTGAAGCTGAATGTTAGCCAACTGGGTTGAGGTCGCTCAATGGGACAGAATATCTTGGGATATAGATCAGGGGACGTACGTGAATGAGTGAGTGAGGTGGTAGGACAGTAAGTTTCCAGCACAAAGCAAATCCTCTCCTGGGAGTGACGACTGGCGTGCGACTTCAATGGAACAAGCTGTCCTGTTAAAGCTGAAGCGGAGAACTACTGACTGGACTTAACGCTGCGGGTATCAGGCCAATACCGAGTACGGGGGGTATTGTTGCAATTTTACTCCTTATAGATTAGCGCGGTACGGTTATCTACCGACGTGCATGCATCAATACGAAGGTATTACCAACAGTGCCAAAGGACAGACTACAGACTCTGATTGGACATGCTTGGATACAGTGCCTGATAGCGGGTCACGTGGTAGCTATCAGTTGCAGGGCGGTCTGCTGCCCGCTCACGTGATGCGCATCGTCCCGGGTGCACGTCACTTTTTCTGCTGACTCTTTTGACTTGTCTCTAAACTAGCTTCTGCTTTTTCATTGTTCCATTATTCCCCTCCTTCAAACCTCCACTCCGAGGTTGGTTGGTGGTACTCTCTTAAACGCACCAGAGGTTCCCCAAATTTAGGACACCGTCTCAAAGACTCTTTCTTTCATCTCATCCCACTCGACCTCGTAAGCGACTTCTTTCAACATCTTTTATTGAATGCCGCTTGCCTGATTCTGGACGACAAAGCGCGCAGCGCTCCATCTGCCTACAAAAGCCTTCTTCGCATCGTCGACGCCCGACTTCGTCTCCTTCTAAAACACAATCTTGTCGACAAATACCATCCATATCACGAATTTTCTCCTTGTTGTCCACTATGAAGAACGGAAAGGCTCGAGGCCGTCCCAGCGCTTCGGATCGCGGGGGCATCCGCAAGCGGGGTGCTGCGAAAAAGGTCGATCGGGAAGGTGATCTGGTCATGGATGGAAATACGTCTCAGGCCCGTGCGAAGAGAGGTCGTGGGGACTCTGTTCGATCCGGCGCTTCTTCTGGAACACGGT